TGGTATCGCACCTGATCCCAGTATTCGATCTACCATCATCCACTGGCTCGGGTTTGCACTGTACGCAGTGATGGTGCCCGAAGCATCAACGCCATTGGCAGCCAAGAGAGGGAGGCCACTGGCGTCAGTGCCCGCATCAGTAGCTCTCGTCGCCGCCGAAGGTGTCTTAGTGCGAGTAGCCGAGTCGCTCAGTCTCAAGGTTCCGGTGGGCACGGTCGTGCGCTTGTGCCCGGTGGAATCTCAGTGCATTGCAACCTCCGTGTTTTTCGACACCGTCTCAATTGTCCCACCAAGTTCTTATCGGGTGACCAGCAACAGCATTCGCCCTTTGGACTCAACCATGACCTAAACTGGCGTCGGTAGATGGTATCGATGTACCTCAATGTACCCACGCCCTTCTCTTCCTGTTCGAAGCAAGCTCTGTCTGTACTTGTACATGAGAGGTGAGATCGCGCGACTCCGATTGGCTGCAAAATTGACCAATCCAACGCGACGGAGACAGTTCGGAGATTGCCCAACTGTACTCTGAAATGACAACCTCCATCATTCTTCGATTCGCACAGCCATGAGCCCACTCCTCGACGCTGTCGCCGCCAACGATATGCAGGCGCTCGCCAAGCACGTGGTCGGGGCGTCGCCACGCGAGCTCCTCGATGCCCTCGGCGCCGCCTGTCTCGCGCCTGCGTACACGGCCTTCATGGCGATCGCGGCAACCGGGTGCCTCGCCAAGACGCCCGACGACATTTATGGCTACGTCCACTTGGCCGTCGAGGGCGGCAGCGTGCACATTGTAGCCGCTCTCCTCCGCCTCACGGGTATCAAACTCGCGTTGGTCCGTGTGACACTGGACAGTGAGGTCATGACGCCGCTGCTCGTGGCCGCCATCACGGGCAACGCCGCTATGGTGGCCTTTCTCTTGAAGCACAACGACATGGACGTCGACGGCGGGCGCACGAAAGACGGCAACTCGCCGCTTGGTATGGCGGCGGCGCACGGCCACAGCAGCGTTGTCTCGCAGCTCCTCGCCGCCGGGGCGTCGCCGCGCCATCGCAACCTGGATGGCGACACTGTGCTCGACCTCGCGCAGCTCTACGGGCAAACGAGCATCGTGGCACTGCTCATGCACCACGAACGTACGCAAAAGACGTCCGGCGCGCTCGGGCTCAAGAGCCGCATCCAGCAGCTTCGCCAAGCGTCCTCTGCTTACCAGCATTACAGCCCCAATGATGGCATCAACTTTGACGCGATCGAATCGCGCATCTCGCTCCTCAAAGTCCGCGCAAGCGAGCAGTGTCTCCGTGCGTCCATGGCGTCGACGCCCGCGTCCTCGAGCGACGACGAGCGGTTCCGGTCTTTCTTTTAGTTGCCGTGTTTAGTATTTAAGTAGACGTTCCAGTAGACGTTTTGTGTGTACAGACGATTGCAAACATGTGACGCGTCGACTACGTGCCGTGACAGACCCTCGTCACCACATGGCTTGTCTGCACCCCGCACTTCGCCACCACCACATCGCAACGAGTAGCTCCCAGTGAACACTGCTGGACTAGCTCTCACCATGCTAGCTCACGACACCGCAATTGCAACCGACAACTCGTGACCGTCCGACTACAACCGGACGACTAGGACGACTGGTGCCAGGTCGTGCATTGTAGTGTTTACTAACTGTTTCACAGTCTAGTTGGCGACACGGGTCTCGTCGCGCCGTCCGAGGTGCACGGTCAGCTCGCCCACAAGGTGGATCGGACTCACGGTGATGACTGCGGGGGGCACGACGGCCGACAAGAACGCGCCGTCGATGCTACGCTCGTCAGCGACAACCTACAGCACAAGTTACGTTTTGAGTCGAAACAAGAACATACCACTCCAAGATACGACAGCATCGATGGCTGCAGCGTCAGCAACGTCGTCGCCAGGACGTACACGAACGTCTCAATCGCATGTGTCGGGCTCACGTGGCGCGGCAGCGGCACGACAAGCGGCGGGCGAAAGACGCGCAGGAGCAGCAGTTGCGCCGACGCCACGGCCATTGCCCCTAACCCTCGATAAGAGGAGACATAAGAGCATACTAGCTGATACCGTGCATCGCCTGCGGGTCCTTCCAGTAGGCGCTGGTCATGGCCGCGCTCAAGAGGAGCGGGAGGAGCGTCCAGTCGTCGCCTGCAAACAGCTGGACCGCGGCGACGACGTCCGGTGCGTCCTTTTGACGCTAGAGAAAACTAGTGAAGAGAAGGACAACTTGTACGTACGTACACGCGTCGACATTGGCGATGCAGCAACCGCTTGCGACGCCATGTTGAGGCTCGTGCAGAGGTGCATAGCGTGTCCGATGGCAGCCATGTGATGCGTCACCTGCGTCATTCATTGCTGAACCATCTCGTTGCAGTATTGGACGTACTTTGTCCAAGGTCGCCATGCGCTTCACCGCGGTCTTGGGCGACGAGAGGAGGCTTTTGCCAAACTCGACAAGCGCGTCACGGTCCAAGCTCAGACAGTGCTGCAGCTGCGAGATGTGCTGCCGCACAAAGTCGAGGATTCCTGCGTACAAGACGCGACAGCCCTCGGCGCCGACGACCGTGACCAAGGCCTGCAGCTGCAACGGCGTCGCCAGGTCGTTGGCGTCGAGTCCGTCGAGCTTTCGATAGACCGCACCGTCGCGCCGTGCATAGCCGTCCACGAGCCACACGAACGGCACGCCGACCGCCCCGTCGTCGGTCGGAGCCAACGCGGTCAGAAATCGAAGGTAGAGACGCGCCATGGCCAATGCAAAGCGGTCATTGCCACGGTGCACGTCTTCATTCGACATGGCGCATTCGCGCTGTAGTTGAAGTGCTATCCCGTGGCCCACATCGTAGCGGGCAAAGCACTCACGGAACACTTGCAGCCGCATCTGCATCGTCTGCGGCGGCGTCAAAGCCGCCACCTGCAAGTCGCTGATGTTTCCGAGATGATCGAAACGACGTACCATGTCGCGAAGGAGAGACGCTAACACGGACGACATCGCTTCGCCAAACAACGCGCTCGGGTCCAGCGTTGACGCAGGAAGAACGACGGCGTTCGCTGTTTGCAACGCGACAAAGAGCTGTGGAAGCGCCTGCAGTGCACGCCCCCCGGACGCTGTTGCGCCGTCTCTACGCTCCAACATGGGCTAAAAACCGAAGAAAGGAAGTGGGTACCGCTGTGCGATCGCAAGGGCGAGGGCTTGCTCGTAGGCGGATCGCAAAAGACCTTCTAGACCTCCGCGCCAGTCGTCGACAAGCCGTGTTGCGAGGTCACCCGCGTGCGATGGCAGCGACGTGGCCACGGCCTGCATCACGTCCACGGTCCTTGCGGGCTCGTGCGCGATCGCATACGCAAATGCACTGCGCAACGACGCGGGGTAGTGCGCGAGCTAGTCGTCGACCCTTGAGTGCCACCCTACGCCGCAACAGCCACGTACCAGGCCAAGGTTCGTCGCGCGGGCAAAGCTAGCCGCAATTCTCAACCGGTTGGCGCGGCGGGCGTTGGCGTCAACCGCGTGCATGGCGGCGACAAACGGTTCGTCGACGGTCACCTACAGCATCAACCGTACGACGGGTGCCTCCAGCGTCCGTCGACGTACACCGCTGCAGCTCCAGTAGACGACCACCTTGGCCCAATTGGCGCTAAAGTCGTCGAGGGCGTGGTCGCTGCCGGCAGCGTTGACCGACGCCACGAGCGGACGTGTGGCCGTGAGGATCTCGACCACGCGCGGGTCGACGGCGGCGTCGGCGGGGACGTCTGGCACCTTACACGAGGCCAGCATCGTCTTGTAATGCACCTCTACGACCGAATGGGACGACCGCGTCGCTGCCTCGACGCGCTGCAGTAGCGAAATCAAAAGGGCGAGCTGCCGCGGGTCGAGGAAGCTCGCTTTGGCATGGTGCTTGGCCTTGAGATGCGCCGGCGTTGCTTGGTAGGCGTGCACGACGTACCACTGCACTTCAGCACGCGCCACGTGCGTCATCGCCAGCACCATCTAGTGTATCGTTTCGAGACAACTTGTCCATGGCGCTATGTACCGGGTAGAGCGGCCCGAGAAGCGACGTGTCCAGTGCCAAGAGGTGCACGACGCTCGAGAGACTCCAGATGCAAAACGCGCGCCGATCAGCGTGGCGATACCCGCTGCCAGAGGTCGCACGCTTGGCGATGCGGCTACGTACACGTCGTGATGGCCGCTGCATCGACAGGACAGAGGTTGCTACCGAAGTAGTTTTTTGAGCTTGGCGTCGAGGAGCTTGGCGGCGTCGGCCACGACTTCATGCACCGAGAGCGTCTACAGACTGTATGTGAGACCTACGGTGTAGAAGCGATGAAGGTACGAGGTCCTCGGCGAGCACGAGACCAAAGAGTGTGCTGCCAACGGCGTCGAACGCCGCCATGCCTCGAGGCTGCACGAGCTCCTCTAGAGACCCACATATCCTCATGTCCTGTACATGAGGAACGCACGGGGACACGTCAAGGCGGCCAAGACGACCCATTCGTCGATCGCGTCGTGGTAGAGAAGGTGGTCGTAGACCTAGCATTGACCTTAGTGAATGACCTATGTGTTGCACCAGAGCACCGACAGCCGCATGGTCCAGCACGCCGGTGGCCGCCTTCTCGAGGTCAAAAAAGCCTTGGTTGCGCAGTGCGAGGAGGTCCCGCGACCCGGCCGTCGCTTCGTAGGCCGACCACACGAGCGAGCATAGCTTGGGCGCGATCTCGTCCTTGAGCTCGGCCTGCAGCGCTCGCCACGGGTGGTCGGCAAAGCACAGGACAAACGACTCGACGCCATGGTCGAGCGCGCCGTTCAGGCCGAGGTAGCCACGGACGTCGACTTGCGTCGCCCAGAGCACGTGCAGCTTGACGTAGGTCGCAAACAGCTGCAGGAAGCTTGCCATGAGCACGGGATGCACGCCAAACTAGAGTTCACACTAGCTCACGACTAAAGCTCCGAAGGAACGTACGTGCAGAATCGAGAGATCGACGCAGACGCTGCGAAGCACGTCAACGACCGCGAGCTTCCAGTCCAACAGCATCAACGTGGCGGTATGCAGCTCGTGGAGCGCCGGCCCGAGGCTCGCCTTGGCCTGCGCGAGCAGCTCCACGTCCTTTTCCTTGTCGAGCACGCGGCCCGGGAAGGCTTTGGCGAGCGTCTTGCGGAGGCGGTCCATCTCGGGCGGGAGCGACGCCGTCACCAATGGCGCCATCGCCCGGCGCAGTCGGCCCACAAGGTCGTCGCCATGCGCCTGGAGGTACGCGAGCTGCGAGCTCAGCATCGTGACGCTTCCCGTTGCGATCTTTTCTAGCAAAGGATGCATTTTTAGTCGAAAACGACCAACTAGAAAAAAGGACATGGGGATCCACAGCTTGTTTACTTTAGTTTGCTACACTCTACTACTCTACTACGCTGCCGTCTGCTGGCTTGGTCGTCCTGAGCTCGGTCGACCCGAACTCGGTCGGCCTGAGCTCGCCCGGCCCGTGCTGCCCGGCTGACTTGGCCGGCCCGAGCTCGCTTGCGACGGCCGGGAGCTCGCGGTCGTCACCTCGTCCCACTCGTAGCCGAGGACGCGCGCGAGGAACCCGTTCTTGGCTTCGTTCTTGACGCCACGGAGCTTGAAGACGCCATGGCAGGTCCGGCAGACGCGCTGGTTGTCCATGACGGGCTTGCCACCGGCCGTGACGCGCCCCGGGAAATTTGCGGGGAACTTGTACAGCTCGACATGAAAGGACGCGCACTCGGTGCAGCAGACGCGACCGCAGTGCTTGCAGTGGTGCCGGCGGTGGCCAAACTTGAACGGCCGGAGGCACACCATGCAGCTCTTCTTCTCCTTCTCGCTCATCCAAAGCGGCGGCGACGTGATGGCGTTGATGAGCTTCTTGAGTCGAGCGTTGTCGCGCTGGGCGAGCTCGATGACGCGGACGCCGTCCTTGTCGGTCGCATTGAGCTGCGCGCCGTACTTGATGAGCATGCACGCAATGTCGAGCAGGTCGCGCTCGACCGCCACATGCAGCATCGTCGAGCCGTCGAGGAGGGCGACCGACGGACTCGCGCCTGCCTCGAGCAAGATCTCTGTGATCGTCGGGTCCGTCTGTCGCGTCGTCATCACGTGGACGACCAATGGCGTCTGGTGCCGAGCGTTGGGCGTGTCGACGGTCGCCACCGCGCCGTGCTGGAGCAGAAACTGCAGCAAGCGCGGTCCATTCTTGCGGTCCTTGGCGACTGCAAAGTGCAGCACGTTGTTGCCGTTGCGGTCTTGCTTGGTGATGAGCTCCGGGATCATCTTGGTTTTGCACAGCTCGTTGATGATCGTGTACTGCCCCTTCCGGACTGCGAGGTGGAGGGCCGTCTGGCCGTGCTTTGGTTCGCAGTAGAGCACGTCGCAGTGGTAGTTGAGGAGCGCGCGGACGACGTGGAGGTCGCCCCGGTCCGTGGCTTCCAGTACCACCGTGCGACCCGCGTCGTTGACAATGTTGGGGTTGCTACCGGCCTCGAGGAGCATGCGGGTGATGTGCGGATCCCGCGCAAGATGCAGCGGCGTGTTGCCGTTGACGTCGGGTGCGCAGAGGTCCGAGTCCCAGTCGATGAGCAGCCCGACGACTTCGAGGTTGTGGTGCATCGCGGCCGTGTGCAGTGGCGTCCGCCCGAGCGAGTTGGTCGCGAGCACCGACGCACCGTTCTCGAGCAACGTGAAGACGTCTTGCTCGTTGCAGCAGTTGGCGGCAAGGTGCAGCACCGTGTCGCCCGGCGTCTTCTCGACGACGCGCGGTTCTTGCTGCAGATACCGCAAATCTTGATCGACGCCGTGGTTGTAGTCCTTTGTAAAGCGAAACTTGTACGGGCCTTGGCGCCCCGTCGTTTGGCGGATCGTGTCTTCGTCGTCGCCGTCGTCTTCGTCCGACTGAATGTCGAGCGACGACCGCGTCGAATCCGACGGCGGCGGCGGCGCGAGTCGCTTGGCTTCGTCGGCTGCGGCTTCGTCGCGCTTGATCCGCTCGGCCTCTTCGACCCGTCGCCGCGCGCGCTCCATGCGCTCGAGCTGCTTGAGCTTCTCGCGCAGCTCGCGCACGCGCCGGTACGCAAGCCAGCGCCGCCACATTGACTGCAGCAGCAACACGGCGAGGCGGGCGCGCTTGTACATGCGCTGCGCCATCACCCGGCGCCACGTGCTCTGAATGAGCACGACAAACTCGCCGTAGCGCTTGGCGAGCTGCGCCTCGACCGACTGGATCGCAGTCCGCCGGAAAAACACCTTGGTCAACCCGACTTGAATCGAGTTGGCGTCCTCGATCGACGAGCTCAAGAACGCGACAAGGAGGTCGGTCGCGCCCTTGCGCTCGGCTTGCGTCGACGTCCCTTCGTCGCCAAACGACTCGGGGATCTGCTTGAGTACGTGGCCGGGCCCTAGCGACCGGTACCGCTTGATAAACTGCGCGTGCGTGATGCGCACGGGGTACCCGGCGCGGTTGACGCGGACCGCTTCGAGGACGCCGCCGGCCTTGAGCTGGTCGCAGATGCGCTGGGCGTTGAAGAGACCTTTTGTGTTCTTGTCGTTGGGCTTCAAGCAGCGCACGTACGAGCACGACGTGCTCTGGATCGTACTCATGAGCGACCGCAGCTGCGTGCGGAAGTGTGTCCCGACGCTCGTTTTCGCGGCCGCGCCCTTCTTGAGAAGGCCGCCGTGGCGCTGCTTGTTCTTCGCGACAACTGGCGCCGGCGTCTCGTCCTTGACAAGCTTGCGCAAGAACGCATTGCCCGAGTGCTTGATGAGCAGCGTGAGCTCCGAGTGCAGCGTGTCCTTGTTCTTCTCGCAAAAGCCGTACGTCTCGTACGCGACCCAGCCCGCGTAGTGCTGGATCGCAAAGATGTGGTTGGCTTTCTCCGTGTTGGTCGCACGGAGGTACTTGGACGCTTCGTGGGTCTTGTAGAGCTTGCGCGCAAAGTTCTGGTCGTTGCCCTGCGGCAAAATGCACTCTTCGTCGAGCATGTGGAAGACGCCGACGGGCTTTGTGTCGAGGAGCTCGAGGCACGGCCGGTTGCTCGGGAAGTTGACAAAGCTCCACGCAATCTTCTCGCGCTCGTACTGCTGCTGCTCTTGCGCGAGCACGGTTGCGTTGAAGTGTTCTTGGAGCGTCTCGTTGGCGTAGTTGATGCAGAGCTGCTCAAACGAGTTGGTCATTAGGTCTTCGAAGCCAAAGATGTCGAGGACGCCGATAAAGCCTGCGAGGTCGCCGTCTTCATCGTGGTCGATCGTCGCATTGATCTGCTTGACGAGCCAGTTGAAGAGCTTCCCGTACACATACCGCGAGAGCGCATCGCGGTTCTGGTCGGCCACCTCGGGCTGGAGGCCGATCGAGTACGTCTCGTCGCGGGTCGTAATCTTGCGCGTGCACAGGGCAACTTCGAGCGACTCGCGGTCGACTCGGAGGTACGCCATGACTTGGTGCACCGCCGCGTCGACGCGGTCGTCGTCCTCGAAGAGCATCGAGCCTTCGTCATGGCCCGATCGCTTGGACTGGAACGCGAGGTTGCCCATGTGCAGGACCGCCGCGACCGTAAACACAATGCTATCGACGTCGTCCTCTTCAAACTGCATGGTCTCCATGGCTTCTTTGAGCAGCGCAAACTGCTTGACGTCGTCGACGCCGTCCTTGCGCTTGATGCACTCGCTCTGGTTGAGGTAGTAAAAGTCCTTGGGCTTCCCGAGCGCGTACTTGGCTCTCTCATCACTTGATGCGCCGGCGAGGAGCTCGTAAAAGACGTGGTAGTTGCGCTCGTTGGGCGCCTGGGACGTGACGCGGATGCTCTCGAGGAGGTACACTTGGATCGAGGCGCCGATGAGCACGCCGTAGTGGTCAAACTGCATCTGGATAAACTTGCCAAAGCGCGAAGAGTTGTCGTTGCGGATCGTCCGCGCGTTGCCAAAGGCTTCGAGGATCGGGTTGGACGAGAGCACTTGGCTCATCACGTCGTTCTGGCCGACGTTGATGTTGCGCATGCTCTTGTTCTGCGAGACGGCCGCGAGGTACTTCATGATGAACTTGGTCGTCTCGGTCTTGCCCGCGCCCGACTCGCCACTGACCAAAATGCTTTGGTTGGACGCGGTGCCCGTGAGCGGCGCCGTGAGACTCCGGTACGCCGAGTCGGCAATGCCAAACACGTGCGGTGGCATCGTCGACTCTTCGTCGCCGAGCGCGAGAAGCGCGCCGTGCCGAATGTACTTGCGGATGAGCTTGTCCGAGTAGATGCCAATGTCCTGGAACGGGTTGACGGCCAAGAGGATCTCGCCTACAAGAGGAAGACGCATGAGTGGAAGCTGTTCCGCTCTCGATTAGGGACCTGTGAGGGTATAAATATCGTTGATCGTGAAGCGCTCCTTCAACGTATGGCAAATGCCAGGTTCGTGCAAGTGCGGCAGTCGGATCAAGTCGTCGACGAGGTCCTACACGCGACTCCATGAGGCGAGGCGGAAGCGGAGGCGGCTACCATGTCGTAGTTGTTGGCGAGCTTGATCGTCTCGTCGGTCGCGTCTTCAATGGCGGCAATGTCGACCTCCATGGCGAGGTGGCCGCGGCCCGGGACCTCGACGTCGATGGCCGTGAGGCTAGAGCTCGACGCCTTGGCGATCGATCGGACGGTCGCGAGCGTCCACTCGTCGTCCTCCTTGATCCAGACGCCGACCCCGACTTCCATCCTTGTCGTCGGCCGCCGGAATTAATTATGGTGGCGCTTGTGACCTAACGTCGAACGAGTTTCAGCCAATGAGAACGCGCGGCCCAAGTGCCACCCGCCGAGTTATAACATCCGGAGCCGTTCGCGCGTTCCGCCTGCAGCGTGACGAGTCGTTCGACGCCGCCCCATCCACGCAATAGAAGCTGCAGTCGAGCGACGTCTTGCAGCGGCTTGACGTTCTTGGGTTCGATGCATTAGTCTCTTGCGGCCACGCCAGCCGCAACGTGTTATAACAGTGTTGGCATCCCCGGAATCCCCCAAAGGGCAAAGTGGTCAGAGGTACCCCTGCGATACTGCGACATCTTGGGGATTGAAGCGTTTACAACCCGAGCGACCGCGTTGGATCTCGCTCGACATGACCGCGCTTCTGCAGACGTTGGTGTATATACACCACCGTGTCGCCTTGGCCAAAATTCACAGGGTGTTATAACGCAGAACGACAAAGGGGTGCGTCACGCTCGAGCCTGATAGTTGACGCTGCAGTTACGTGTGCAGCCAGGAGCAAGGAGGCAGTCACACCGAAGCAACCGCCCTCGTCCCCGACGCCCCAGGTGTTTTTTATTTATTTATTTTTATTTTTCAATATTTTTCGCCGATGCTATGACGTGGCATGCCCCACGACCAGCAACGACCTTCCGCGCAGCGCTCCCAGCGACGTAGCGTGCGCACTCGGAGGCAGTCGAGGACGGTCGCAAGGAAAACAGTCGCGTCCGTCCAGCGTGCGTCGGGTCCAAGCGCTGGTCACGGAGAAGATATACATTCATTGAGCCTTTGGAACGAGCGGAGGCGGATGGTGATGGGGCGTGTTGGTCCTCGACGTCCTGTGTGGTGTACTGCGGCCTCGGGTCACTACCAAGCATGCCTGCTTTGTCGGTCAATGCCGTGGAGGCACCCGCGTACTAGCAATACTAGCAGCACACACGAGACGGCTGCGATCGCAGGTAACACGCTCGAGGACCAACAGCAGCACCTGTGAGCAACAACGACCGATACCAGCTCGCTGCGGTTCCTAGCCATTTCCGCAGCGCCTTCATAGCCCAATTGGACATTCTTCTTGCGGCGAAACCACTACCTCCACCTTTGTCGGCGTCATCGTGCTCTTCCTACTCGTTCCTGTGGCGCCAACTTGACGCTTCGGGCTGAGGACACGACTAGATTACATGGTCGAGAGGTCGTCCTTGGTCTTGCGCAAGAGATAGAGGTCACTGGCCACCGTTCTCGGGTGCGACAAGGCGACCACCGAGCCCGCGACGGACTGCCCGACGCTCTGGACGTCATAAAGCACTTCGTGGTGGAATACCTCCAGATGCATCTCGGCTGCGAGCTATGGGATGCATCAAGCACTGCAAAAGGTCGTCGGATCGAACCTCGGTGAGGTACTCGGGCGCGTGAGCGTACCGACCCGTAAAGCGCAGAGTGTACGGCGCTGCTTCATTGTCGTCAAGCTGATCAATGTTGATGCAGAGGAGACCGCCCACGCGAAGCAAGCGCTGTGCTCGCTCGAATACCTAACCCCGCGTACAACATCAGTCTTCAGCGAAGGCAAGTCGGTGAATAAGGTACCGGGCGCAGGTCACCGAAGTACGGCGCGCTGTTCATGGCCAGCACAACGTCAAAGCTCGTAGTCGGCAGCGTCGCGGTGACCGTCAAGAGATCGCCAACCTAATACCGTGTGACGACTGCCATTCGAACTAAGAGGCGGACCTGGAGCTCGTCGTAGAGGCCGCTGCGGCGCGCGAGCTCCACCGACGCGGCCGAGAGGTCGATACCCAAAATGTAGTTGGCGAGTGGCTGGAACGGACGAACTGCAACGCCGGCGCCAGTGCCAAAGTCCACAATGTCAAGCCAGTGGTCCCCCGGCGTCACGCCGAGCTTGGCTTGCAGCACTTCGGCGATGCGTGTGGGCGCGTCGTCCACGAAGAAGAGACCGTGGAGCTGGCGAAATGCGACAAACGAGTCGAATGCGTCCGACGCGAGGTGGACCGACCGGTGCGCGTGCATATCGAACGTGGTCGAGACGTACTGCGTCGGTGCCCGGTGCGTCGGTGGAAACCCGTGGTCGTGGAACGCCGCCTTGACGTACCGGTCTTCGGGGTACATGGACTGCATGGCAAAGAGACGGCTGAGCCCGTCGTTGCCTTTTTCGTAATCGCCGCTTTCCTAGAATGTAGGTATTTGTATCAAGACATCAAGTCCACAGTAGCCTACGAAATAAGCGTAGGCGAGTTCGTGCAAGTACAGAGACTTTTGACTCGATGGGGCCTTCGCCGCGGCCTTCTTGAGCGACGAGACGGCGACGTCCATGCGCCCGAGGATGCTGGCGCAGTGGCCCATGCGATAGTAAACCTACGACTAGAGCTGCAGCACAGACGGCGGGCGGAGGGCGTACCTCGGCGACGAGGGCGTTGCCCGAGACAAGTGACGTCGCGGACGCATACGCGCGCAGCGCCTGTTCGTAGTCGCCCAAGCCGGTGGCTGCTTTGGCGAGCTTCATGTGAATCTCGCCGAGCTCACTGGACTTGGCTTCTTTCGAGTCGCCGAGGATGAGAACGACCGTGTCAAAGCTCTTGACGGCGAGCGCGTACTCGCCGATCTTTTGGTACAGGTCGCCCATCGAGATGAGCGACGGCACCTTTCTTCGATGGGTCTCTTCGAGGCGGATGCCGCTGAGGTAGTGGTCGAGTGCGTCGTTGGTGCGACCGCACTTGGAGAGCGCGTCGGCTAATTGGTTGTGGATAAAGGCATTTTCTTGCACGACGAGCGCGCGTTCGTAGAGCATGATGGCGTCGTCGCACGCGCCGACCTTGACCATCTCGGCGGCCTGGAAGAGGTACGTTTCGCGCGACTGGAGCAAATCTACTTAGAGTCCATCGCGACTACTTCGTGATGTGCCATCAAGGTCATGTACCTTTGGTGCTATGGAGGTTGAACGGCAGCGCGACGAGGACACCGACGAGCAGCAGCGAGAGAAAGCACTCGCAGTTGAGCCACCCGATGGGCTCTTGAAGGTCGTACGCATCACCGGCCGCGCCGTCGTCGTAGGTGCCGTCATTGGCGTAGTACTCGAGGTCTGAGTGCAGCACGTCGCCGTGGCGCTTGGTGTGAATGATGTACGTGCCGTCGCCGGACTCGCGGAGGTCCTCCATGAGTCTGCGCGTCTTGGCCGTCTTCTTGGTCGAGCTCTTGACGTGGCGTCGGAGCATGGTCGGCGCCCCTTCCGAGGAAACTTTTGCGTTGTGCGGAAGCTGGAACGAGCCAGAAGGCCATTGGCTGAAATCCAGCACACGTCGCCAATCAGCTCTCGGGATGTCGCTCCTTGCTACGAAACGCACCAATCCACGCGGTCCCAACGACGCCTTCGATAGATATGTCGCGAAACCACTCTGGCCTCGCCAAGAGCGCTGTCGCGAGCTCCTTCCAATGCTCGGTATCGTCGCCAGCGTCATGGACGAAGCGGCTGTAGAAGCGCACGATGTGGCCGACGTACCACCGTCTTGCTACGCAGCACCCATGTAATGATCCCGCATCAATCCAAGCGCTTCAGCTATCGCCAGGAGACCAGCGCCAAAGCACTGACGCCGGAGAAGCACTCGACTGGTAGGCTGCCACGTGTAAGAGCAAGGTCTGTGTCGGCCGTGCCGTGTGCAGGAGCCGCCATGGCTCGGTGGCGATCCGGCCGATGCCATTGGCTAAAATGCAGCCAATGGCCTTCGTTATTACGCTGCAGCCAATCATCGCACTCTATTTAAACAGTCCACCAATCACAACGCATGGACGGTGCTTGGTGGCTACATTTGGGCCAGAACCGAATCCTCCATCATGGCCCAAGGCAGCACCGCGCTCAAGCACAAGAACGTCAAGAACCTCAAGGCCAAGCCGGCCAAGAAGAAGATCGAGACGCGCCACAAGAAGACGGCGGCCAAGTTCACCAAGAAGGGCAGTACGTGTTTCGCTCTGTCCTGCGAATCGACGCTCAGGTCCCTTGCGTAGACCCGACGACCGAGGTCCGCCGTGGTTGCAATGGCTTCAAGCGCCGCGGTGATGAGTCCGTCACGGGCTTTATCAACAACAACATTGAGCAGATCATGGCGTCGCGCGTGCTTCAATCTGGCTCGTCGATCATGCTGAGCGACGTCAAGTCGGCCGGGAAGGAGCGCCTCAAGGAGATCAACCAGGCCGCGCGCACCAAGAAGAAGAGCCGCGTCGAAGAGAAGCTTGCGGCGGTCGAAAAGTCCATCAAGGACGCCGAAATGGCGCCGTAATACTCCTATTATTCACCATCAATACTGTTCCTCCAAAGCCCATCGCTTGTCATAGCTGCCACCATACCAAGCCATCCTTTATATGCTACATTCGCCCCAACGTGGCGATTGAATACCGGTGGACGCTACTACATGTGGTGTTGATATATTATTGCATTGGGATGTAGGAAGCCTAGAGCGGTCTCTTGTCCATGGCCTGCGCAAGCGACCCTTTCCTCTTGATCGGCTGGCTCTGGCCCACTAAGATGCGGTACTTGGCGTACATCCCGTTGCGCTTGAACTGTGGCACCATTTGGTCTTCGAGGTAACTCCGCACTTCGGTCGCCGCGACGTCAAAGAGCGTGTTGCCCTGGTGCGTCTCGAGCTGCGACGCGATCACTGCACTCGTCTGTGGCGACACGCAGCGCGCGGGCGCGATCGCCGACGGGGCCAAGTACCGCGCAAAGATCTCGCGCCTCATTTCGTCGGCCTCCTTTTCGTTCTGGACCATGCCAAACGTCATGACGTGGTGCAGGAAGTCCACGCTGCCTTCCGGCTGGAGCGCCATGATCACCACGTACAAGCCGAGGTACTCGCGCCCGAGCTCGTGGCTCAGAATCGCCGTCAGATCGTCGTCGCCAATGAAATCCAAGTAAATGTCGTGACGCGCTTGGGCCGACGCGGTCCGCGCCGCCACTTCGTCGTAGTCGAGGTACGCGGCCCAATTCGGTGTCTTGAGAAAGCGCGGCCACGAGTCGCGCTGGACGAGCGCAACGATTTCGCTTTTCGCAGCCCGAAACAAATCTTTGGGCGCTTCCTTGTCCTTGCTGACCTTGCGCTCGAGGCGGACGCGGATCTTGGACGGGATATTGATCTGCAGCGGCGCGTTCTCGTCGACAAAGAGCTTGAGGATGCGGGCAGCGGCCGCGACTTGGTCATCCGCCGACAAGCTGTCGTAGTTGTCATCGAACGAGTTGACCATATCGATGAACTCGAGGTTCTCGGACGAGTATTCTTGCACGAGAAACTGGTGGAAGAAGCACATGGCCATGTCGTCCCGCAGCATGAGCTCAAACTTGAGCGTCTTGCCCATGAATTCTCGCCCGGCGCTCGAGCGCGGCCAGTGCTCGGCCTCGACCTGCCGCAGCGCCTTCATGCAGTCGTCCATCATCGCGAGAAGGTCGTCTTCGTTCGTGAAGGACCCGTTGGCGTTCAAGCCGATGCGGAGGAGGCCGATCGTCGCGTTCGAGAGGCGTGTCGTGCTCGCGAGGTTGGTCACGGCCGCCTCGAGCTGCCCGAGGTCAGCGCTATTGTCGTCCGAGCTGTTGTTGTTGTTGCTCGGTTGCTTGAGCGCTTGCCACTTGGCTTGGAGCGCAAAATAGACCCTGGCCACATCTTTCTTCTTGATCTCGGCGCAGTGGACGCCAAAGAGGCGGCGGCCGACGTCCGACTCGAGGACGCGGGGCAGTGGCATCGCCTTGAGGTAGTTGTAGCATACCGTGTTGAGTTCGGTCGCAAAGTGGGTCGGCGCTTGGTCGTGCTTCTTGGTCGTCGGCTTGGTGGACGCGGCCTCGGCAGGGTTGGCCTCGGGCTTGGCCGCCGCCGACGGAAACGACCCCATACCGACGAGTTCGCCGACCGGGTTCTTCAGCGCGGGAGTAATTTTAGCTCTCACGCGTTTTGCAGCTAATCTGGGCGCCGGTTGTTGGATAGTCGAAGGGATACACTATTGAGCTAACGTGGGGTAGGGTTGTGTGGGACGTCTCGCTGACTCTGGGACTCTAGGAACGAGCCGGAAGGCGTTGCCGCTTGCATCAGCAACAAGCTACAGCAAAGAGCTAGCATCGTCAACGACAGTCCTTTTGCCCTTTGAGAAGGTGCTCCGAACACACAAGCCCTTGGCTCTTGATGCTCCCGAATGACGCTCGATTGGCCGTGTGGATTCCGGATATGCCAAACGGGTCCAATCGCAATCAAGATAGCCCTGGACACGATTTGATACAGTGTTTGAAACACTGTCTATGTCGGACTCTGTGGGCAACCACGATTTGGACGCCGCTGCATCGGCCAGTCTCGAGACTCGACTGCAGCCCACAATCGTACGGCCATCACCAAGTGTCTTTTGATTGGGCATCGGTTCCGGATACGACGGTGGTAGCCAATCCGAGGATGTCGCCTTTCCGCATCACAGATTTGGCTGCCAAATTCCCATAAGATCTCATGGCGACCTTCCGCAGCGTGGTTCTGGCGCAGCCCGAGATCGCATCGATCATCTTCATGGTTTAAGAGATCGTGTTCGGAGAAGGTTGCTGAACGATGCCTATCATCTTCGGCCTCCAGTTTGGCGTTACGCAGACGTCGCGTCGCGCTTCCGCGACTTTAACCACCACGTGGACGTGCACCGACCGACGGACGACGACGACACCCCCTGCTACGGCCTCGACGCGACCTTTGTCACGCGCTACCTCGCTCTCAAAGATGGCTCGACAACAAACTGCATTGGCGCCAGAAGCTTGTGCCTCAGTACGCAGTACACGCGCGACGCTCGCTTTCCGCTGCACTTGGCGATTTGCGAAGGTGACTTGGTCGCGACGCAGCGGATCGTCGCCTGCCGCCCCGACCTCATGTACCAAGAAGCCATCGAGGCGGCGCTCATGACTGGCCACCTTGAGATCGCAAACTTTCTACTGCAGACGCACGCTGTCGACCGCAACTTTGACGACAAGACCTTGGGTTGCGTCTCGCGGGCGCTGGACTCCTGGCTGCCCGCCGCGCTGCTGTCGACCAACAATGCGGATGCGCTAGCACTGCTGTGGCGTCGCCGCCAACTCGAGTGGCCGACGGTTCTGCTCCGTTTGGCCAGCGATGCGGGCGCGCCTCAAGTCATTGCGTTCTTGTACAAGCACATGCCTCACACAGTGTACGAGGGCTTCGTGGACGTTGCCGCCGCCCAACGTCTCTTGGAGATTGTCATCGACCTCGTCGCACGCGGTTTCAGCTGCACCGCCGATGCACTGGACACGGCCGCTACGAATGGTCATGTTGACGTCGTCCGCTTCCTCATCGAGCAGTGCCACCAAGTGCCGTCGCGGACGACGCAAGAGAATGCGGCAACGCAAGGACACTTGGCCGTCGTCATCTACCTGCACGAGCTCGGGACGTTGGATAATGCCATCATGGCTGCGTTCTCAGCCGCCTACTTGGGCCACGACGACGTTGTGCGGTACCTTGTGGCCAATCGACGCGCGACCGACACTACCGTGCGCGTCGACGCGCCCGTGTCGGACCTAGTGTTCCTCGCCATGCACTTTCTCTCGCTCGGGTGCTCGCTGGAGAACGCCGCAGAGTACTTTTCAAATGTCATCAGAAAGCAAACGTCGGGCATCATGGAAATCGCGGCCTTTTTCATCGGGCGTGGTGTTGTGCTTGACGCTACCTGGATGATCAACGCTTGTGAGCGAGGCGACATGGACGTCGCCATCTACCTCCACGACCACGGCGCAGCGTCGGCACCCGAAGCCATCGACCGAGCCGCGTACAAGCAGCATTGGGCCATCGTCGATTTTCTCATGGCCCATCGAAGCGAAGGCGCGACGCTCACTGGCATCGAGTGTGCCCTTGTGCATGGTATGTTTGGAGTGGTCTTGGAGCTTTGGGCAAACCAGCCCGAGCTCCGCGACGACGACCTCTTGCGCAGCGCCATTGCCAACAACGCCGTCGACGCCATCGATTTTCTGCTGGAGAAGGGGGTCGGGCACCCTCGCCATCTTCCCTCCGACGCGCTCTGCGTGCACAAAGGATGCCTCGGTGCTCTCTTACCCTGCGTCATGGATCCACCGACGCCGATCGAGAACCTCGCGCACCTCATCGAGACATTTGCTAGCATGTCTTCCAGCATTTCCAAGTCCAACCTCTTGGTCATCAAGGCCGAGATGCTTCGTCAGGCCAACGACCTCGTCGACGCCAGCGACGACCTCCAAGCTCACGCAGCCACACTCTTGCGTCGGGGCGCCGAGACGACCACAGAACGTGATGATGGTATGCGGGTGCTGGACCGCGCGGCTCTCTTTGACTGGGCACTCGCAGTGCTCATCGTACACTTCTCGACGGACGCTGCGACCACTGCCGCTCAGAAGACGCGACTGGACGCGTGGATGATCATGGTCGACGAACCTCTTCTGCGCTCTCAACTGCACACTCGCCTTGACGTGAAGGGCAGCGCGGGGCAGCGGCATTGCAACGACGAATGAAAAAACCAACTAACTAGTTTTTCTACTAGCATCCGCGCCCTTGGTGAAACACAAACACGACTGCAGGTAGAATAAGTTGAGAGAGTTTAGATATCTAGTCTATCGAGGTTCGGGGATATTAGGGTTGGACGACGGTCTCTTCGAGCAGCGCCAAGTTGTGCGCGATGCCGCTCATGCCACTCACCAGACTGTTGAGAAGAAGGAGTTCTTCGAGTGCGAGACCCTTGTACCTGTCGTCCTGCAGCAGCCACGCCGCGTACGACTGGCGCATGGCGTCGGCAGCATGGAGCAGCGAGAACGTCTCGACGTCCAAAATGTCGTGGGCGCGACGGACGCCGTCGTCCAAGAAATATTCGGGCAGTCGACTGGTCGGCGTCAAGAGCGGGCTACCGTCGATGGAGATTTCTTGCAACGCTGTCGCCGAGAGCAGATGGGCGCTGCTCTGCGTCGGAAGGACCTCCACTTCGAGCAGCAAGCCGTTCTCGAGCGCACGCATGAACTCGTCGAGCGAGACCTTGCCCGACTTGTCTTGGTTGACGATCTCAATAAAGTCGGCCACGTACTCGTCGACCGCGTCCATTGGCAAGACGCCCGACTGCTCAAACACGTGCAGAAGCAGCACCTTGACGTCACTCGCATCCACATACCCGCTGCCCTGCTTGTCCGCGAGCTGGAACGCTTCCTTCATCTGCACAAACAGCGCTGTCTGGTCGGCGTCGGCGAACTGGAAGCGCTCGCCAAAGAGCGTGTCCAGAGTCTCGAAGGTCTCGTGGATCGACGGACCGAGCTCGAGGGGCAAGTCGCACGACGCCAATGACGCGTGTCGACGCAGGAACCACTCGACAAGCTGCAGCAGAATCGTCGTGTTGGTCAAGAGGCGCTGACAGCCCTCGACGATCGCCGTGTACTTGGGCTGCGAGAAGGCCGGACGCCACAGTCGCGGCTCGAAAAGCGCTTCCTTGAGCAATATTCGCTGGTCGTTGAGACACGATGGGGCAGTCGTCTGTAGAGCCGTCTTGACCGCTGCCAACTGCGAGAGGTCGCTCGCGCCATCACACAGGAGGGTGTGCTCCACGAGCGTACTGAACGCGACTCGGCAGAGGCCGAGGTGCATCTGAACGTTGCGACGGAGGAGCTTGTAGGCGCTCTCGGGCCAAAAGAGTAGCTCGATGCTGACGATGAGGAGGACGCCGAGGGTCATTTGCACGACGTTGGCGTAGGACGACAAGGAGCCAGGCGCGGGACAAATGTCATCGGGTAGCAAGATCCCGGCGGCAATAAAGGCCGAGACGAGGCCGGCGTACGAGTCGAGACCGCCCTTCCACTTCACATACATGGACGCGGTCGTCCAGACAAAGAAGAACAAGTTGCGAAGGACAAGCATCACTGCCGTGTACTCGCCGCTGTAGGTGCAGACAAAGAAGAGCGCGATCGAGGGCACGATGACGCCGGCGACGACGCCGACGGCGCGAAACAACGAGATGCCAAACGACCCACCTAGTCCTTATGAGTTGCGCTGTCGATGGCGAAAATGACAATATGTACCAATTTGATTGCCCATGACGTAGGCGATTGTCGTTGGCGCCGTGGACGAAAATCCAAAGACATATACGGCGAGAAGGCTGGACAAAAGGAGGGCGAGCCAGACTTTGAATGCAATCTGGAACCGCGCCGGCGTCAGCTTGCGTGGATCGACAAACGACCAGAACGACCGCTTGATAAAGTTGAGCATGCGCGACGGCTACCATATTGAGCTAGTCAAGGCAACGCCGGGATCGAAGCGCGTACAGTGTGGTGGGTCTCGTTGCGAACTTTGGCGGGAAACTCGGCCATCGCCGCGCAAAGCGACTGGAGGCCAAAGAGGAAGAGGTTGAGCGGGATGTTGCCTTCGACGTCCGACGGCGTCGGGTGCATCGTGAGGAAGAGCTTGCTCTGCGTCGCTTGAAAGCGCAATAAGAGAGCTTCCATCTCGGTCTGCAGCGCATGCAGCTGCGACAACTGCAGATCTACAGCGACGCATGAGCAAATTTGAGACCTTTGGACCGTGTATACCTGTATGGTTGGCGTGGACGTCAAGCGAAATCTCGCGGAGCAGTGCGATCGCGCGGAATTGAACGCTGCACACCTCTTGCTGCAACGCAGCCATGAACGACGTGTGGAGACGGTCGTAGTGCTCGAGCTGCAGCGCTTGGTTCATCGCGCGAAGCGTGTCGAGGAGCGATGCGTAGAGCTCAATGTACGGCTTGGTGATTGTTTTTTGGAAGCCCAGGAGCGGCGCGAGGCCGAGGATCTGCTCCCACCACGCGTCGTTGAGAAGACTTGTCATTGCGTCCTTCTGCAGTGTGGCGAGTTCAAATTTGCGCTTGATCTTGGTGCGTAGAAAGTGCATGTGCTCGACGTTCTTCTTCTTGAAGCAGTAGGCGTCGACGACGAGGTGCAAGAGGTCGTGGATCGTGTCGGCCGCCGACAGAGTTTGCGTCTGGAGCTTCCGGATCGCACTAGGTACAAAATACAAAAATGAGGGCGGCGTTCGGGATCGAAGCGGGTACAAGATCGGGTACGGCACCCAGACAACGAGAAACGACAGGAACGCGCCGATGAGCCCGAGCCACATGTAGATAAAGAGGTTCTTGACGATCATCGGGCTCGTATAGAGACCGTTGGCCGCGTCCTTGAGCTTGGCCGGGTCGCTGTAGTCGTTGGGGCTCACGACCGTCAAGGCGAAAATGAGGTTGTTGACCATCGAGAACTTTTTGGTCCCGGCTTCCTACCATTATAGTATCGTGTAAGACGATATTGTCTAGGATGCAGAATCGTGTCGATACGTACAAAGGGCAGGAGGAGAATAAACGCGTTAAAGGCCATCATGAACGGCAGCACAGTCAAGACGTCGCCGTTGTTGACATAGTACGGCGTGCCGCTGAAGGACGTGGTGATGCGCACAAGCGTGCCATCGTGCACAGCAGCTTGTACTAGAGAGGAATATATACCATAGTTACTAGGAGCTTGAGAATCAATTAAGAAAAAGTACCTTCGGCGTCGCTGTAAAAGAGGCGGGGCTGGAAACAGTGAAAGAGGACTGCGTTGTACGCGAACGCAAGGAAGACGCCGAGCTTTTGCTGGAAGACTTCCCGCAGCGTCGCGCCAATGTTGCGGCCAGCAGCAAAGACGCAGGCGACAGCGATAAAGTTGATGCCGCCGAGGATGTACCACTCAGGAAAGCAGACCCAGATATTTGGCCGCGCCGGCGTGTGCTCGCCCGAGGCCTTGGTGACAAAAGCAGAAGCGATGAGGACGCCGAGGCCCGTGCGCATGGCGAGACCCAAGTTGGTCTTGAACTCGGCTACATACAATATAGGTAAACACCACGTCGTTTCGTTGTTCGAGCGAGCGTACTGCGGGACTGGGCCTCAGTGTCCATGGGCCGCGCCTTGCCCATGGTGATGCGCAGTCGCCCGATGGCCTCGCGCTGCGACTTGCTCAGCTGGTGAGACAGCGTCGGCCGCCGGTGCAAGCTCGGCGCGTCCTCGTCTTGTCGACAGCTCGTAGTAGCGTCTGCTGCCATCGCTGCGGCGTCGCCCGATGAGAAATGGCGCTGCGTGGATGGCCGCGCCAAGGCTTTGCCCAATCAGATTGCGTTCTGTCGTATCGCAATCGTTCCGGTACAGTTCCAACCTGTGCATACGATAAAATATTGGGATATTTCTTTCGCCCTCGTGGATAATATTGAATATAGCGGCGTCCCCGAGCGCCACGTCATTGGATCGTCCGTCGGTTTGTATGTCGTTTTTTTCGAGAGGCCAAAAATGACGTCCTCGTGCGGCTGTGCGTGCTCACGACGGGGTTGCATGTTGGCTAAAGGCTGTAGTAGCCTGCAGCTACTCGCCTTCCGGACTCTACTGCAGGCATCGTAGCTGCCTGTTTGTGTATCTTGTGGTCAGTCCAACAAGCAATCTCGGCTTCTACCTTCTGAAATCATCGAATCGAATCTTGGGACGTCGCCACAGCTTCCACCTCGTCATCATGGGCCCTGGGCCCGGACCATCGAGCAAAAATCTTTCGCGGCTCTGTGCGACACCACAGGAAAAAAAACCTTGTCTCTGCAACGTGCGCCTTTCTCAGTTGGGCCCCCCACCCAGTCACGTTTTTTAGGTACCCAAAGTTGAGACATTGACTTGATTATGTGGGCAGTGGGTACCTCAAGAAAATATATTTGGGACGGGGCCCCACTATGACGTGGCATTCCAGTCTGCACTTGATGTTGCCATTCCTTCGGCTGCTAGGTCGCGAAGGATTACGAGGTCATAATAGCGTGCACGGGAGAGCGAATGTCCTTGTGGCGGACCCATGTATGATGTATAGCTGCAACCCAGCCGTCTGCTGTGACAGACTTTAGGCGTCATGACTTCGGCAGTCAAATCAAGGGCCTGCAAGTATTTTTTTTGAAACTCGCCAACAATTGCTGTTTTATTCCAACATAAATCAGCTAGATATTCAACGCGAGCCAATACATGATGCTTTGAGCCTTCATAATTCTAGACAGACTTGTCCTTGGCCACTGAAATGGTCACAGCGTTGTGGCTCCGCGCATAGAGCGTGGTATCGAAAAACGGGGGGCTGGACAGTGCGTATTGTGCATTGCTGGCTGTACTTGCGATCATCGGTTGCCGGAGTATGTTTAAACCGTCGACAACGTGAGGATGGAGACGTATAGCTACAGTGGTGCAGCAACTGACGCGGAAGCGCCGCTTGAGCGACGTGTCCTCGCAACCTAAACCTGTCGAAGTTTTTTAGCGACTGGAGACGATAAACCTATTCGATTAGCACGCCGGGTGCGAACTAAAGTACGTGTCGACTAGATCGAATGCAGACGCGATCGAGCACTCAACCGTCTCCATAAAGCGAACCGCGCCCGTGTGGTACGTCGACCGGTGGCCCTGGAGCTTTGCCAGGGCCGCATGCCAGCCGTTGGCAACCGTCGTTGGGCTAACGTGGGCAAAATAGTCCCAGCTCTTGCTAAACCGAAGATCTGCTGCTGTCAGTGGTGTGGCGACGGCCCCCGGCTCTGAAACGTTCTTGTTGAGCTGGGAAAGTGTGCTCTGCGCCAGCGCCGTGACGTTTTCGAGTGAGATCACGTCCTTGCCGCGCTTGTACGAGTAGACGTTAAAGTACTTGGTGTCGGACGGCTGCGTGTAGAAGATGACGGGCGCGCCGTCACCAAGCGGCTCGCCAAACGCCAGTGGCTTGGCCGCGTTGCCTGTGAGCTGGAGCTGGTTCGAGTACTGATGTTGCGGCTCGACGTGGTCGAGCGTCCAGACTGTCGTGAAGTACTGGACCGTCTCCACGTGTTTGAAGACGTCGACTTCCTGGGCGTCCAGACCCAGTGGCTGAAGGAGGTCCAAGCGATGCGGGATCGTGTTGATGATCGAAGCGCACGCTTGCGTCTGAGGACCCTTGCCGTTCACCGTGTACATGATGCTAGCCCCGTCCGCTCGGCGGTCCATGCTGGCAATGGTTGCACTGTATCGAAAAGTTGCATGCGTTAACGACGACGCAATCTTGGCGAAGAGGAGGTGGTAGTCGGTGATGAAGATCGTCGACTGGTGTGTCGCAAATTGCACAAAGAGCGACGGCTTGATGTACGCCAGAGCATGCATCGTGGGGAGGTCGTGGAGCGAGCCGTAGCCGCATGCAGTGAGGTACACGTGAAAGAGCGGGAGGAGCGGCTCCAAATGATTGGCTGCCACAAACGCTGCCATGGGCGCCGCAATCTCGGCCGGCACGCCATTCGGAAAGCCCGGGCGGATGTAGGCTGCGTACTTGGCGTAGACGGCCGCGTAGCGCTGCATGGCAGCGACCGCCGCGGTCGCGTTCGAAGGAAGCGTCGAAGCGTCGAGGATCGTGCCTGTTTCGACGTTGTAGAAGTACTCTTGCGGCAGCGCAATGAGCGGGCGTTCGACGTTGAACTTGTCGAGGAGCTCGATCGAAAGCGGGTACATGGTCGTGTCGCCAAAAATGGCGCCAATGTGGTGGTTGAAGCCTTCGGGCGAGACCCAGTTCTCCGTCTTGCCACCAGGACCGTCCTTCTTGTCAAAAATCACAACATCGGTGATGCCCTTCTCTGCGAGGCGCAGCGCCGACGCAAGGCCCGAGGGTCCGGCACCAAGAATGCAAACAGGCGCGGTGGCCGTGACGCCGGCGAGACCCGCGAGGCACGAGAGAAGGATCGAAGCGCGCATGACAAGCAGCGAGAAAGTTGAGCAATGAACCGTTCTGAAGCTCCACTGAGTACAACGACTGGTACCATGTCTATTTGCGACCCTGCACACAACCCGTCGGACAATTGATGCGGGTCAAAAGCAAATGACAAAAAGGGGTGCGAAATCGATCCAACAAGTTGCCAATAGCACCATCTTTTGTCATGTGGGTCTGATCTTTGGTCCTGTCCAAATGCAAACGCGAAACTCGCGCTGAGCAATCCAATCACCGTGAGAAACCAGGTGTTCGAGGACGCCGCCTTTTCTAACGTCGACACAAGCCTTGTCCAGTGGCCGAAGCTGTCCGGTTGGAGAGCATAAGTATCTCGTACTTCGTGGCCCGCGGTGTCTTCACCATATACACTACTCTGTACTAAAGTCGACTAAGATCTACCACCTACTAAGTATATTCCCAAACAATACAATCGACGACATAAGCGTGATAAGACACCGAGATGCTCGCCAAACACCATTGGCTTGCTCCTAGTCGTGCCATACCCACATCGAGTACATCAGTCTAGGATCATTGCAGGAAAGAACTGTGTCGCCTTGGCGACTTGCCAGAAATTGCGAAGCTCATGGCATCCGCACAACAGTCATCTGGTGGTTCTGCTCGTCACGTGATGCCCCACGAGCAACCTCTCGGGGCTCTGACAAATTTAGCATCGCAAACGTGCACGTGAAGACGCCAAATATAACGCGACGCAAGTTTGTTGTTGAAATGAGTTATTCACACGACTCAGGTTTGTTGTATAAAGGCCGTTTGGCGAGCCTTACGCGAAGACGTCCTGGAGATGCCGGAATGCCAAGAGGTCGGCGAGGTCGTCGGGGTGTCCAAAGAACTGGTCGCACCACCAGCGCACGAGCTTTTGCCGCGCGACGGGCAACATCCACGAGTGTCTAACGGCAACCGCGTCCAAAAACGACACGGTCAACATCGATGGGTACTGAGCACACAGCTCGACGAGCAGTCGCTCGGGGTCGAGCGTTCTCGCGCTGCGATACGCAGTGATCGTGGCGCCACCGAGCGTCGGGTCGATCTCGTCCGTAACGCGGCGACCAGTGCACGTCCAGTACAAGTGGGCGGCCGCGGCGGCATCCGAAACGTCGTCCGTGGTCTGAAGAAGCCAGCGGTGAAGTCTCCGCCACGGAGCGCGAGGGAAGAGCCGCACGATCGTGAGCGTCGTCACGTATCCAAAGGCGTCGTCGTCGGGGCCCACGCCCGGAAGGCCGAGGCGAGCTACGAGCTGCATGGTTTGGCTTGCGCCGCTGCAAAGCGCGCACACGGCGACGGGCCAGCGAACACCGGGCTCGGCCCGGGCGAGTGCGTGAAGCCCCATGGGCTCTGCCATGTCGAGATGGGCCACGAGGTATGGCGTCCACTCGATGCAGCGCGCAGCAACGAGAGCCTTGATAACGTCCGTCACTTCATCAGCGCAGCGAAAGATGCCAGTGTGCGCGAAGGAAATCATTAGTTTGGTAAAGTCCGGCCCGAGACGCATCGGACGGCGGTCGATGAGCGCCACGACATGCGCGAGAGGCGCCATGAAGACCGCACTCTCAAACGCCTCTCGCGAGCACACGGCGTGTGGGCAGTGGTCCAGCAGATACGTCACGACGTGGGGGTAGCACTTGTTCAGCGCCATGTTGAGCGCCGTGTCCGTGACCGTCGCAGGGTAGTGCTCGTGCAAGAACGCGACAATGTCGAGGTACCCGCAGGAGGCGGCCCGGTCCACTGCGTCGCTTGTCGCGCTGCTCCCGCTCGCATGAAGCCGCTTGACGACTGCCAAGTCGCCGCACACGGTTGCCGCTTCGATCAAGCTGCCAGCGGGCGGAGTGCAGCGGTTCTTCAAGAACCGAACGCTTTGAGGCGCGCGGCGCTTGGTCGCCCACGCGAGTGCGTCCGGTGTCCAGCCACGGGTCGTATACGAGGCGAGCAAGACGTAGAGCTCGCGACTGTTGTGATGGGCAATGCGCTTTGGAAGGTCTGACGACGTGGACGTCATCTCATTGGCTGCTTGCGCGGCGCGGAAGAGGCCCATTCGCTTCGCAAGGGCGTCGCGGGCCATGGCCAAGCTGCCACGAAGGCTTTGGACGGCGCGCGACGGCAGCGCCATGCGAGCTTCGGGGCGTGGCTTGGGCGCGATGGCTTGGACTGGCGAGACGCACGTACGTAGCTCGTCGACGACCTCTCGCTGCTTGAGAAGCAACCGAACGATCGGCACGTGGCCGCTGACAAAGGCGCAGTCGATGGCTTCCGCCGACACCAACGACCGCTCGTAGCGGAGGATGTACGCGACCAGCTGCGCGTTGCCATGAACGATCGCGAGATGGAGCGGGAAGCGCTCGTCCGACGTCGAGTCCACCGGCAAGCAGAGGTCCTCGCTGCGGAGGCGCTCCGTCCAGTTGGGCGACACGTAGTCAAAGAAGAATACGGAACTGGAATCGCCCATGCGGCGGCGCTTGGAGTACATGGCTGCGCGCGCGATCGCTTCTAGAGGTGTCAAACCGTGCTGGTACGAGAAGACGATGGCCGCGAGCGCGGGCTCGACTAGCGGGTGCGCAGCCATTGCTCGACCGCTCTTCCCAGATTGATATTAGAGTGTCTGATTGGTCGTCATTGAAAAATGGACCAATCAGAGGCCGAAAATGCTTCATTGGTCGCTCGAACTTCTATGTATCGAGGGCCATACTTTAAATAAGATACCGGGAGTATTGTTTCAACTCAGCTGAGCCAAGCCTCGGCAGCCCTTGTGAGTGTGCCCTAAAACCTCTAATCTTTATATAAACTTGTATGAATATAGTGCTATGATTTGCGCACGAATTATCGTTTCGCTCAAGCAGCTTCGAGGCCGCGGGTCGACAAGAGTTGGGCTTGGCCACTGCCGTCAAAATGATCGCACCACCAGCGCACGAGCTTGCGTCGGACGTCTCGATGCATCCAGTCGCGGCTGGCGGCAATACAGTCGAGCAAATGCTCATTCAGAAGCTCCGGGTACGAGGCCCGCAGCACCAGAAGCAGCTTGTCGAGGTCGATCCAGAGCGCGTCACCAAACGATGGGACCGTGACGCCACCGTACGTCAGGTCGAACATCTCGGTAGCGCGGCGGCCCGTGCCTACCTTCAGCAAATACGCACCAACCTCGTTGCGCTTGGTGGTTTGCAGGGCGACGTCGTACCACATGTCCGGGTTCCACCACGCGATCTCGGGCAAGAGCCGCATGAGCGAGAGCACGCTCGCGTGGTCGAACGCATCGTCGTACGCAAAGTCGGACGCTCCGTCTTCAAAGCAGCGACGCGCGGTCGTCGGCGAAAAGCTGAGCAGCGCGCAGACGCAGACAGACCAGCGCATTGCGGGCACGGCAGTCACGAGCGACAGCAACTCGTCATCCGCATTCTGTCGGACGACCAGTGCCACCATCGAAGGCGTCCACTCAATGCAATGTGCGACCGCGAGCATTTGCAGCACGTCTAATCGACGCAGCGCAAAGAGTCGGGCGATGACATCTCCCGCCGGGCGAATCGGACGGTGCGCAATGACGCCGGCGACAAGGTCGAGGGATCCGTGCACAAGGCTCGTGGTGACGCTCGCCATCGAGCACACGAGATACGGGCAGCGCGCGAGGAGATATAGCGCGGCGTCGGTGCGGAGGTTGGAGAGAGCTCGCTCGAGCGCTTCGTTCGAGACGGTTTTGGGGCAGTGACGTACAAGGAAGACAACAATCTCGAGGTGGCCGGCGGCAGCGGCTTCGGCGAGCGCGCGTGGTGTGGCACCGACCCCGTCAACGTGCAGGCGCATCGTAAGGCCCAAGTCACCATACTTAGCGGCCATGTCGACGAGATTGGCGACGGTAGGAGTGCCACGACAGCGCTCGTACAAGCACTCGAAGCTGCGCATCTTGTGGGTTTGAATCGCAAGCGTTAGTGCGTCATGGGACCAGCCGTTCTGCGTGTGCGTGGCGAGGAGGGCGTAGAGCGTCGGGTCGTCGTGTCTCACGATGCGCGATGGAAGGTCCCACGACGTCTCGGTTGCAGGCGTTGCAGCGGTTGCATCGATCGGCTCAAAGCACGTGCGCAGCTCGGCGACGCTCGCTCGCTGCAGCAGCAGATACTGCACGATCGCCACATGGCCGTTGACAAACGCGCAGTCGATGGCCTCGGCCGACACCATCGATCGGTGGTAGTCGACAATGTAGGCGACCAGCGGCGCGTGGCCACGAAGGATGGCAAAGTGCAGCGGCAAGCGAAGATCGACGTTTGGCCCTGGTGGCAGGCAGAGGTCGTTGCACCCGTAGTGCACGCTAGAGCCTGGCGCAGCATATACGCTGCCGCGCTTGCGGAAAGATAGAGTGCGCGCGATGGCCTCCCGCGGCGAGCTGCCGTGCTGGTAGGCAACGATGGCCGCCGCCAGGGCAGACGAACTGAACACGGCCATTGCCATGCTTGTCGCTAATTATGCTGGCGTGGGATTGGCGATTAATCCGCGCGTGGTCGCTGTGGATTGGTGCGTTGATTAAAAAGAAGCCAATCAAACGGGCCACAATCCAAGAATGATGGTCTCCTGTGTCTTTTGATACTCACGATCGCCATTTTTGCCGCTGGAATGAGGTTCGAGCTGGTCCATTAACAGTATTGGTCCTGCCTCGATGCAGTGATCTAGTCAGGTCAAAGCTGTGCATGCAAGATTCCCGCAGGGCTCAAGGGGCCGTCCAGCTAGTCCCTTCGTCATGTCTGCTACAAGTACGACGCGCTCCATGCGATCTACGAGTAAAGGATAAATGGCAGAAAATACGATGCTAAATTCCATTGAGCGACGTCAACGGCACCAAAATGGAAACAATGTTGTACAACACGTTGGGTCGATCCTGAGTCTTTCCCACCATCTCGACAGTACCTTGACCGTGTCCGGGCGACGACGCGTAGGCGCCGGTTGCTGCGTCCAGTGCCGTACAATATGTGGTCGCTCGGCCTCGGGGGCGACGTGAGAACACTAGAGTCGACTTGCTGACAAAACTGACCTGCGATCGACCACGAGGTCCGGCATCGCAACGCACGTGCTCGTGGAAGTGGCCAAAGTGCAGCAACGATTCCACGTCACGGAAGCTCGTCAATTGCATTTTGAACTGCACCTCACCTCTTACAGTCGATAGAGAGACCTCGATAGCTATGATGCCAAATATCTGTCATATCGTTTGGACGCTCTAGCTTCACGCCATGGCACAGCCTTTCTACTCGATACATTGATAGTTCGCGTGATCAAACGCTTGAAACCGACAAGATCGCGCTCGTCCATGGGTGGTCGGTACTCGAAAGGCCCGATCCGGAAGGACGCCCGGCCGCTGCTGCCCGCCGCGTGGAACGAGCTTGTGGCGCTCGAGCGATGGCTATCGGTCAACAACGTGCTCTTCGTGACGGACTTGGCGACGCTTCAGGCGTGGATGCCAGCGAAAGACGTTAGCGCGGCCAAGCGGGTGTTTACCTATCCATTCTGCGCCCTGGACCTTCTCGGTGCGTTCGCCCTATTGCAGCACGGCGCGCCGACAACCCGCAAGCTCGAATGTACGGACGCTACGCTCGTCTGCCTCTTGATATTGGGATTGCGAGTAGTTGTCGGTCATTTGCTCAAGAATGGACCCGACTGCAACAAGCCCGAGCTTCTGATTGCCATGGGGTACGTGGTTCGTGGCGTCGCGCGCTTGAAAGGGCTGCCCACCGTGCCAGACGCAACCTTGCAGTTTGTCGCTCGGCGTAAGCACACGCTCGTTACGTCAGCTCATGACGCCCGAAGCGTGCTAGAGGTCTTTGGGGGCGAGACGCAGCTGCCATGGTCTGTTGTTGTCGCCAAGCTCATCGTGCTGCCCGACATCATCTACTTTCTCAGCGACCTCGATATGGTATGCATGATCCTGAGGTGCTTGGCGAACGCATTTTCACAGGTGTCGGTTGACAGCCTCGAGACGCTCATTGGCGAGCAAGCCCACCTCATGCAAGAGCTCGCCAAAGTCGAACATGACCTTGCGGTTCTCGGTACATTTCACAAGTGACGAATCCCCCAACAGTCTTGTAAACTAGGAACCACAACACTACCTGTCCAGCAAATGCCAACGCATCGCCACGGGTGGCTCTTCCACGTGGGCTTAGACCTGTATGCGGCGACTGCCACCGTGGGGCGTCGCACCTCCCAGACGCCGATGCAGATCAACATCGACGAGTGCGCGCGCATGATCTTCAAGCACTTCAACGCCGAGCCGCGGCCTGTTGTCGGCAGCGGTGCCAAGAAGCACGTGGTCGCGCTCGAAGCCAAGCGCAGCTTCCGACACCCTGCAGACTTTGTCGCGTTCCTGGCGACCATTTCGGATGGCACCGTGCAGCTGCCGCTCGCGGAGGCGTCGCCGATCCTGCAGACAATGCCGCGTGACCAGCTCGAGCGCATCTACTGCTCTGACATGATTCGCTGGTTCAAGCACTGGGCGCTCGCCCAGAACCACCGCGGCCACATGGCGTTCGACCAGACGCCGCTCTGGAAGCACGCGGCCAAGATCATCAAGCGCCATGTGCAAAGCTACATGCTTCGCTGGGACGCCCTCCGAGGAAGCGTGCCTTGCGGTCCGAGGCCGAGCTCTCGGCTGCTCATGGACGAAGCCCAGTACAGTGTGCTCGTCAAGATCGACCCGCCGCTCAAGTCGACCATGGTCAAACCGGTCGCTGGCATTGGTGGTCGACTAGACCTCGTGTTCCACGACGAGGCAGAAGGCGCGGACGGCCCGCCGCTCGTGCATCTTCTTGAAGCCGGGTACCCGACGGTCCTGTCGCTCGAGCTCTTTGTGTTTCGAGATGTGAATGGTACACTGGTGTCGATGATTTGTCGGCAACTTGAGCCCTGCGGTAGAGGCAACCGCGACACGGCTCGCGTTCTTAGTGAGTGAATTTCTGAACGACTACAACGTACTCGAAGGCCTCTCGGGGCTGTACGACAAGGCTGTGGGTACGCAAAACGTCTGACGTTCTTCGCTCCACGCGTTTCTAGTCACTGTGATGAACGGCCTCCGCGAGCACAGCGTGGCCGACGCCTACACAATCGGGATCGCCTCCGACAAGTTGTACCTGCAAATTAACTTGTTGTCCCAGCGCAATATTGTTGCGGAAATCGAAGTACGTACATCGTCGCCCAATGACGTTATTGACAGACAGTATGCTCCAGGAGATGTGCCAAGCGCCACTGCGCGACGTCGTCGACAAGCTCCATTGCGAAGTCCAGCTCGGCAACGCATGGAGTGAGATCGTGCAGCACGCCAAGGACATGCGAGCGCTCTTCGAAGCCGCTTGCAGCGACCCCACGTCCAGCGCAAGCGCATCCCTCCTGCGTCTCCTCTTTGACCAGTTTGATCGCAATGGCTCAGGCGCCTTGGAGCTCGACGTACATCCTTCTCCTTCTAGCGCAAATACACTATACACGGGTAGGAGCTCAATGCGCTGCAGCAATCGCGGGGTCTCGGCGTCGTCTACAGCGATGAAGAGTTCCGCGCGCTTCTCGCCGCCAACGGCGAACTCAATGACTCGTCGCCTAACGGGCTCTCGTGGCAGGCCTTCTTAGCCCACTTTACAACCAACGGCGGGGTCTTCGACAGCGTCCAGCAGCTCGGTACGCGTGAAATGTATGTGTTGATGTTACCTCATGCGAGGTAGGGGGTCTCAACACCCTCTTGCACGGATCTATCTCGTGGGTCCTCGCCATCAACCGGCACTGGCTGCTGCACCTCGAAGCCAACGCCGCCACGTCCGTATGGCGCAACCGCTTTCTCAAGTGGAGTCTGCTACTGACGCAGTACCTCACCGACGTGACGGTCGAGCTCTCCTTTCCAAATGCACTGAGCTGTGCGCGGTACCTCTGGCCGTCCGTCAAGACGTGGCCCGTCCTCGAGGCGCCGTATTGGCTCGCCAACCAGCTCTACGATTTAAGCACGCTCTTCTGGCACGCGCATACGGAGCCGCATACAGCCGACGAGGCAGGTTGCTTGAACCTTCTGTGCGCAGCTCGGAGCTCGCTCTCCAAGCTCGGCCACATGCGGTCGTCCAAGCAGCAAGCGGTGGCGTCCGAGACGTTCGAGATGGAGAGCATCCGCAAGTTCTTGGAGGCGTATCCTGCGCTTGAAGCCGCCGTCTGTGGCATCCAGCAGCTCTCGGTCGTGACGCGACCCGCGTCGTTCAAGGTCGAGTTGGACCACTGCGTTGTGGCCAAAGCCAAACCATAGCATTCCTCTTCATGATTGGCTGAAACGACAACGGGTTCGCGTTTGGGATTGGTGGCATGGTAACCTTATGCGCTGTGATTGGTTCGCGCCAAAGATTTGAAATGGAGCGATACGAGTGGCCAAAATGATTTGGATTTGGTTGCATTTGATACGCTGATTGGTGCAGCTCTCATGGGTCTCACATTGCTGTTGCAGTTTTGGAGTTCCCCATGCTTCGCGCTGCATTGACCCGCCGCTGGACCGCGCCCCGCCCCGCGCTGCAAGCTGGTACGTCGTCCGCGCCGGCCAATGCCTCATGCGCGACGGTCTCTAGCTGGCGCCCGAGCCTTTTGCGCACCGCCATCGTCGACGACGGCGACGACGCCGCGGGTGCGCGTGCGCTACGCGCCGAGCCCGACGGGCTACCTGCATCTCGGCGGCCTCCGCACGGCGCTCTTCAACTACCTCTTTGCCAAGGCGTCGGGAGGTGACTTCCTCATGCGCATCGAAGACACGGATCAGGTACGAGACGACTGCGGACTCGGATATGAGTTGCGGGGCCATAGACGCGCAAGGTCGAGGGCTCGGTCGAGGCGCTCACCAAGAGCTTGCACTGGTGCGGCGTCCACGAAGACGAAGGGCCGACGGCCGGCGGTCCGCACGGCCCGTACGTGCAGTCGGAGCGCCTGCACATCTACAAGGCCCACGCCGAGCAGCTGATACACGTACGGATCTCTTGATATTGAGCGTCTCTCGACACCTGGTGCTGGTAGGACGGCCATGCGTATCGCTGCTTTTGCTCGCAGGAGCGTCTCAAGTCGCTGCGCGAGGCCGCGACGCGCGCGGGGTCGGGCACCATGTACGACCGGGCGTGCTTGGGCCTGACGCCAGCGCAAGTCGAGGCCAAGCTCGCAGCTGGCGAGCCCCACACGGTGCGGCTCAAGGTGCCCGAGGGCAAAACGACGCTCAAGGACATGGTGCGCGGCTACGTGCAGTTTGACCACGCCGTCATCGACGACCAGGTGCGTGTCACGATGATTGGTTGTACTGAGTGTGACGAGGCGTGCGTGATCCTCAGGTGCTCATGAAGAGCGACGGGTTCCCGACCTACCACTTGGCCAACGTCATTGACGACTACATGATGCGCATCACGCACGTCATTCGCGGCGAGGAGTGGCTTTCGTCGACGCCCAAGCACGTGCTCTTGTACAAGGCGCTCGGGTACCCCGTACCGCAGGTTCCCAACCACCGACGTCCTTCCTTCGTCACCTCCAGCTCTGTAGTTTGCGCATCTTGGCTTGCTGTTGAACGAAGACCGCTCGAAGCTCTCCAAGCGCCAGGGCGACGTGGCTGTCGAGGACTTTGAGGTTGCTCATTTATAATGTTCTGTCTGGTTGATGCAAATATGAGTAGAAGAAGGGGTTTCTGGCGCCGGGTCTGGTCAACTTTGTGGCGCTCCTCGGGTGGAACCCGGCCGAGGGCAGCACCAAGGAGATCTTCACCATGGAGGAGCTCCAGGCCCACGTACTACTCGAATTTTCCACGGGGGTAGGGTTATCTCATAACCAGCTAGTTTTCGATGGAGCACATCAACAAGAGCGGGTCCGTCGTCAACCTCGAGCGCCTCCGCTGGATCAACTCGCGCCACATTCGCAGCCTCTTCGAGTCCGAGACGCGCGCCGACGTGGTCGCCATGCTGCGCCCGTACCTGAGCTCGCTGCCGTCGCTCGAGCGCTACGAGACCGACTACATTTACGGCGCGCTCTCGCTCATGAAGGTCCGATCCGCTCCGCCTGTAGCTGTATTCAAGTCGAGCGCTAGGAGCGCGTGAGTGCGTTGCCCGAGTTTGCTCCCCTTGTGCACTACTTCTTCGCGGCGCCCGACCTCAGCGCCGACGAGAGCGTTGCGATGCGGGTCAAGTACTTCAAGGACGATACGGGTATTTGAGCTCCGCCTCCAGCGTGTTGACTCAACTGCGGTCGTAGACGACGTCGTGCGCGCGGTCCGGGCACAGCTCTCGGCCCTCGAAGCCTTTGACGCGGTAGAGTCACTTTGGAAATGACTGGAATCACACCTGCGGTAGAAATCGATCATGGACCTGATCAAGGCGGCGGCCAAGGAGCGCAAGCTCGGCGTCAAGGCGTAGGCAACCATACCTTCTGTCGTGTCGTAACTGGTGTGTAGGGTGCTCATGCCGCTGCGCTACTACCTCACGGGCATGGAAGTCGGAGCGAGCCTCGGCGAAACCATCGAGCACCTCGGGAAGGCCGAGACGCTGGCCCGCCTCGCGAATGTCTAAGGCATCACACGACACACGACGACGAGCTGCTTGAGGTTACGCAATACTAGTAGTAGTAGATCTTAGTTGTTGGTCGAGGAGGTATGGCAGTGGCTTCTTTTTTGGTGGCAGGAAAGGACGGCGTCGTCGTCGGCGTCGGCACGAGGTCGATGTTTAGTAGGAGAATTGGTTGCGCGAGGGCTGCAGCCAGTGGGACGACGGGCGCCACGATGGCGTGCTCGGGCTCGCGTCTTGCGTCGATCCGACAAAGAGCGAGTGGAACTGCATGCGCAGCGGCGAGCAAGACGACTCGATCGAGTGGCGGCAAAAGTAGTCGATGGCCGTCGCGCCGCCCACGGCCGTCGGCCACGGAATCGCCATGTTTTTGGTGCGCACGTGGTGGACCTTGACGCTGCGCGTCGCCGGTCGCTGGCGCTTGGCGGTCGGGCGATACACGTCGTCGTCGTCGTCTTCATCGCGGGACGCCTTGCGCTTGATGGCGGGCTTTGGGCCCAGCAATGGCGGCGGGGGCAACGAGCCGCCAGCATCTTCGAGCTCGAGGAGTTGCGCCATGGGGTTGGCCGGCCGGGCCGCGCGGACCCGGCGGCTGTCGTCCTCAGCGTCGCTCATCTCAAAGACGAACATCAACTCGTCGTCGCTGTCGTCGTACGTGTCGTCGTGGTTGCGGCTCATGGCCCCGGAAGTGGACTCGGCTCGGGTCGGTGGCAGGTCGGTCGGGCGCTGGAGGTCGGTCGTCGCGGCTCGGGAATTGCAAGTCTGAGCTTCACCGGCCGTTGCCTTGCCAGTAGGTGCCCCTTTGCAAGATCTTCCCAACTCCGGCGGTTCGGTTAAGTACGCTTTCGATTTCGACATCGAACAACCGTTGTCGTCACGGGCTCGCAAAGGCGAGATATTGTCCTCTATATATACTACGACCGATGCGAATACCCTGCTCGTCGACGTCAACCGAGCTCCGTGGGGGTGCGAAGCCCACCGTTGGATGCGCTGGTTGAAAGGCGAGCAGTGATAAATAATATCAAATGGGCGATATTCTGCGTCTGCGGAGCTCGGGTTCAGGAGACCGAAATGCTAGGACTAGTCGTGATGGAAACCACCGCGGCCAGGTAGAGAAGTCGTCCAGAAGTGGCAGGCGTGACGCGATTTGCAACACAGTCCAACGCCAACGTCGAACCTAATCGGAGCGCACTTTGTATGAGCTGGCAGTCACACTCATCGAGGTGGACCAAGCAGCCAGCCACCTCCCACTGCACCAACCGCCGCATTCTACTCTGGCTCCTCGATAAAGCACATGAGTATACGCCAAGCGCACAAGCAGTGCGTACGACACGCTAGGGCGCCCATTCGAGCGATCACGTAATCGGGTTGATCAGGTATAACGAGCTCAACCTCTGCGTCGGAAGGGAAGTTAGAAGTTAGCGTACCGGCGAGATGGCAAGTACGCAGCAATCTGACTTAGTACCAGGAGCCAGCAGATGCCCACGGATCGATACGAAGGATGCACGAGCTCGAGGCTCATACGACGTGGTCTAGTGGAGCGGTCAGAGATGGGACCGTTAAGTGCTGTTTTGTGTTCCGGCGTTTGGACCAGAATTGCGTTTTGGGTAGGCCCCCTACGTTGGTCGTCCCTTCCAGCTGGCTCAAGGTTTTCTCCCGCAGCAGTGAGATTGGCAGCCGACGTGCATGGCGGCCTTCTACGCGCGCTCGGTGCCGAGCCGCCTCGAGGCCTCGCCCTCGTCGTCGCAAGAGTCGTCCTTCAGCTACCGGTCGCCGTCCTCCGGCAGCTTCTACGTCGATGACACGATGCGTGCGCTGGACAACATGAGCCTCGTGTACAACGGCGAGCGCCACCCCAACTACCCGCGCGGCTCGCACCAGCGCAGCAGCTTTGCCCAGCCGCCGTCGCCCATTCGCACCAGCGACGACACGCCGCCGGCGTTCCCGTCGGACCTAGCGCTGCCGACGCGGTGTCCGCCGCCGCCGCTTATCCCAAAGACGCGTGCACCGTCGTCCAAGACGAAGAAGAATGTGCGCTTTAGCGCGCAGCTCGTGGTCGAGCACGAGACGCCGACGTACTACGAGTCGCCGGAGAAGGCCATGTTCTACCCGGGCGGCGCCAGCTACCGCCTCTTCCACCCGGAAGAGCTGCCATGCCCGATCCTCGCCGAACTCCCGCGCTCGGACGCAGCAACCAAGCATTTGCGAAGCTGCATGCTCTTGTCGGGCGAGCTTGGCGTGAGCATGAAGTGGGGACTCATGCCGTCGACGCGCTACACCATGTGCGAGCTGTACCCGAACGAAATGCTCATCCTCAAGGAGAAGACCAAGATGAAGACCGAGGAGCAGGTCGCGCTCACCGGCGTCTCGGTCGACGTGGTCTCGCCCGTCTCCATGTCGCTCCGCATCGCCCACACACAAAAGGAGATGGTGCGGCTCTCGGTGCGCGAGGGCCAAGAGGCCGTGCTGCAGGAGTGGTACTGGATGCTGCATATCGCGATGGCCATGAAGGTCGACGTCGCCGACCCGGCCGCGTCCCTCAAGAAGAAAAAAGAGACCAAAACCCGCAGCATTTGGGTCGTCCGGGCGCCGGCGATGGACGAGCCGGGGTACCTCCCGCGCGTGACGCACCACGTCGCGTCGGCCCTCGCCGGCGCCGAGATCCAGGTGCTCCATAGCGGCGAGCCCGAGGCCAAGGCGCTCGCTGAGAGCATCAACGAGTGCGTCAACGGCAAGCCTTTGCGCGAAAGCGTCCTCCTTGGCCGGTCGGTCTTTGACCACGACCACTACTACAGCCGCGCGGCGCGGCGCAAGCTCGCGTACGACATCTTTGTATCGCGGGGTCGCATCAAGCGGCTGCTGCTGGTCGTCGAGGACGAGCTGCTGCCGACGATGATTGCCCGCGCCCAGCGCTTCCGCTCCAACGACCAAGGGCTCGGCATGGGCTACACACCGTCGATGCTCAAGGTCTGCAACGGCGTCGAGTTTGCCGTCGACATGAAGACAGGCGACGCGACCATCGTCTCGTGCTTTGCCTAATTTCGAGCAGTAGATTTCATTTTTCAGATTTTTGAAATTTGGTTTCCGAAAGGCCAGGCGGTTTCAGGAGCATGATGGACGGCCCGAGTCTGCGCGAGGACGGGCGTGTCGAGTGCGCGCCGACCAAGCCGCGCCACGCCAAGGCCGCGCGGTCGCACACGGGCGGGCGCATTGGCAACCAGCAGTACAGCGCCGACGCGGACGAGATGGCCGTGCTCCAGGCCGAGAACGCGACGCTGCGCCAGCGCCTCGCCGTACGCCCTGCCATCGAACAGGATGCTGAGCAATCATGTAGGACATGGAGCGTGTTTTGGCCCAAGTCGAGCAAAAGCAGCTGTACTCGACGGAGGATCTGCTGGTGCATGACGCGTGTATGTAGCGCGGACCAAGCGGAAGCGCTCGACGATATCTCCGAGCTGCTCAAGCTGGCCGAGATGGCCAAGACCGAGGCGACGTCGTTCAACCACAACACTGCGCGGGACAAGGTCCTCGCTACCTCTGCGGCTGTGCATGCAATGTCGTACGTAGATGCGCCGAGACATTCAGACGCTGCAGGCCATTTTGAAAAAGGTTTGCAGCCGACAATACCAAGCAAAGTACGCAGCGTGTACGTAGGCCAAGGCCGAGCGCAACGACTTCAAGAAGACGATCAAGCAGACCGAAGAGAAGCTGCGGCTGGAAATGGAGAAGAAGAAGGAGGTAGTGATTATAGACTTGGAGCGAAGCGCAGACTCGGGTGGGCGTAGGAAGGGCTCAAGAGCGAGATCGACCAAGAGATCTTCACCCGCATCATCAAGGTCCGTGCTGCAAGGCTGTGAGGTGGAGGCGCATGTACACGCAGGAGGACCGCGAGAAGTACAGGGCACACGTCGTTGAGCTCCTTGCGCGCATCAAGTCGCTCGAGAAGGAGAAGTACGACGTCTTCCTCTGGGCCAAATCGCACCATGAGATCTACGTCCAAGTACGTAACTTTGGCTTGCAGCGTCGTTGATGGAACATGCAGGAGATGCGCAAGCTGGCGCGCGCCTTCGCCAAGGTCAAGCGCATGTCGGACGAGAGCGTATAATGGACTGTCGCTGCGTGCGATGCCTCATGCGCTACTAGACGTACGAGGCCAAGGCGTTCTACCACGACGTCATCCAGCTCAAGCATGTCGTGCTCTCGGACGCGGCGGGGCTCGAAGACGCGCTGTTGCAGCAACAAGCCAAGGACGACGACACTCGATGCGCAGCATTCGTGCTCGAGAACCACGAGTCCTCGTAGTGCTTACTCGAGCGGGTTATAAATGATGCGTTGCATGCTCTCGCCTTGCTTGGACACTTGGACGACCATCTTGAGGTCCATGATGGCGTCGCCGTCCTTGGACTTGAACGTCGCGCTGAGAAGACCGCAGTTGGCGAGGTTGCTCGGCTTGATGTCGCTCACGTCAATGTGGGGCGTCTAGTCAATGTGGTCAATGCCAAGGCGAAGATGCACGCCGTACAGTAAACTGGAAATGGTTCTCGCCACGCGCATAGTCGGTGGCCTCCGTGCGCCCTAGCTGTGTCATCGAGGTGGTCAAGGAGCTACACGAGCAAGCGCTTGTCATGCAGCCAAGATCGATGGATAAGGATATTGATAATGTGTCGCCGAAGCACCGAGTCGACGAGGTACTGGACCTCCCAGTAGCCTTCGCGCACGGTCTGGCTCACGGCAAAGTCCACTTCGAGGTTGAGCTCGTCCGAGATGTGCGTCGGGTTGGGCGAGATGTCCACGCGCAGCACGTCGACCTTAGGCAGCTGCGTCAGGTGTTCCTCGTCGTCCGTCATCTTGGCATCGCTCATGCTGGCTGCTCGTTGGTGGTTGCGCTGCTTCGAGATTTTGGATACGGAAACCGAAGTCGCTATCGAAGTTCGAAGCAGCATTGATCGGGTGGCATATGCCGTGTCTAGCGTATTGTATTCGGCACATGCCAATCAAAAGCGACGCATTGATTGGTCCCTTGGCGAAATGCCGAATTGAAACAAATCCACAATCCGATTTTACGATGGCAAGCTCCATCGACGCGACCAAGAGCCCGAACGACCCGAAGCACTACCGGCTCCTCACGCTGCCCAACGGCCTCGAGGTGCTGCTCATGCAGAACGTTCCCGGCGCTGACGATGAGGATGACGACGAAGACGACAGCGAGGGCGACAGCGAGGGCGATGAAGGCAGCGACGATGGAAGTGACGAGGACGATGGCAGCGAGGACGATGACGATGACATGGACGATGACGACGAAGACGATGAAATGGGCGATGATGACGTCGACGAAGAGCTCTTGGGCGAAGATGACGAGATGGCCGACGACGGACCCGCGCCCCGCAAGGCCGGCGCCTGCTTGACCGTCGGCGTCGGCAGCTTTGCCGAGCCCGAGCATCTTCCTGGCCTGGCGCATTACCTCGAGCACATGCTCTTCATGGGTTCGTCGACCTTGCTCTCTTCGATGCGACTCATGCATGCCATATAGGCAGCGAAAAGTACCCCGACGAGAACGAGTTTGAAGCATTCCTGAGCGCCCACGGCGGCTACAGCAACGGCGAGACCGACGTCGAGCGCACGAGCTACATGTTCGAGGTCGGGCCCAAGCACCTCGCGCCGGCGCTCGACATGTTTGCGCAGTTCTTCGTGGCGCCGCTCATGAAGGCGGACGGCCTCGACCGCGAGCTCTCGGCGATCGAGTCGGAGTTTGCGCGTGCGAGCCAAGACGATATGATCCGCTACGAGGTTCGATCCCATGACCTCTTGCTCTCTATTTTACATGGAAGGCTGTAGCAAGTGCTGTGCGACTTGGCGCTGCCGTCGCACCCGTTCCATCGGTTCAACTGGGGCAACACCAAGAGTCTCAAGACGCTGCCGAAAGCCAAGAACATCGACGTCCGCGCCGAGATCCTAGCGTTCTACAAGGCGCACTACTCGGCCAACCTCATGAAGCTCGTCGTCTGCGGTGAGGAGCCGTTGGACGAGCTCGAGGCGTACGTCCGCGCGTCGTTCAGCGACGTGCCCAACAACGACCGCGTCGTTGCCAACTACGGTCACCTGCCCATGCCGTTCGAGTCGTCGGCGCTCGTCCAGGTTGTGCCACTCAAGGAATCGCACGTCCTGCACTTGCACTGGCCGTTGCCGCCGCTCGTGGGGCACCACGACCTCAAGCCCGCCGAGTACGTGGCCTCGATCCTCGGCCACGAGAGCGAGGGTTCGATCCTGTATTACGTACGTCTTTTTCGCCATTTTACGAGATATATCCAGTCTTTTACGTGTAGCTCAAGGAGAAGGGGTATGTGTCGTCGATTTCAGCGGGCCTCACCGAGACGCACGGCTACGACTACGGGTCATTTGGCGCAGTCTTTACGCTCGAGATCAAGCTCACGCTCGACGGTCTCGCTGCGTACGAAGACGTCGTCGGCGTCGTCTTCCAGTTTCTCCACATGATGCAGACGAGTTCGCTGCCAGCGTGGATCTTTGAGGAGCAAAAGACCATGGCGCAAGTCAGCTTCCGCTTCCAAGAAGAGCACGACGCGATCGAGCAGTGCGAAGAGCTCGCCGCGCTCATGCAGGTCGATGCTCGATGCCTCAGGCTATGATACCAAATGCCCTTCTAGGACATGTTTCGAATCCCAACGAGCGAGCTGCTGACGTACGAAGTGCCAACTGGCGACTTTGACGAAGCGCGCGTCCGGTCGCTCGTGCTTGACCACCTCACGACAGACCGCCTTCGCATTCTCCTCGCCTCGAGCACCTTTGCGTCCGACGACACGGTATCTCATGATCTCCCGATGGCTGAGCGATGGTTGATGGTGCGCTAGTGGACCGAAGAGCCGTGGTTCCAAGTGCCGTACAAGGCCCAGCCGATCCCGGGCCCGCTCTTGCAGCAGTGGGCCACGCCGTCGACGCACCCGTCGCTGCGGTACCAGGCTGTCAACCCGTTCATTCCGCGCGACGTGTCGCTCATCGATGTGCCCGAAGCCCTGGAGGCGCCGCGCAAGGTGCTTGCGACGTCGAATGCGACTGCATATTACTTTCCCGACACTGTCTTCAAGACGCCCCGGGCGTTTGTGATGCTGCACTTTTCGCTGCCGGCGATGGCAAGTCGCCCAGACGCGATCGTGCTCGGCGACGTGTACCTGCGCCTGGTCAAGGATGCGCTCAACGCGTACGCCTACTTTGCGCACGAAGCCCAGCTCTCGTACGTGCTGCACGTCAAGGACGCAAGCGGCTTTGAGCTGCAGATCGGCGGCTTCCACGACAAGCTGCTCGAGCTCGTCCATGTGGTCACCAAGACACTCGCGACCTTCACGACTACAACCGGCGAGATGCTCCGTGAAGCGCGCTTCCGCGTTCTCAAGGAAGACCTGCTGCGATTGTACAAGAATGCCCTCTTCAAGCCCTCGGCCAAGGCCAAGTACATGCGCCTGCAGCTGCTTGAGGCCTCGGCCGTGCCGCTCCCGACGCTCATTGCTGCGCTTGAAGCACTCACGTACGAGTCGCTGGTCGCTTTTGGGGTCACGTCCAAGGCCCTCTGGGCGGGCGGCCACATGACTGCGTTCGTCCACGGCAACATCACGCAAGCCAACGCGATCGCAATGGCGTCGACGGTCGCAGGCTACTTTTCCTTTGGGAGTGCGGCGCCGCGCCCGCCGAAAGCCATCCACTCGCTGCCAGCCAGCGGCCTGGTGCTCCACGAAGAGAGTGAGAACAGTGAAGAGGTCAACTCGATCGTTGAAGTGTACTACCAGTTTGGCAACGAGACGGTCGCGACGCTGGGCATGGCCGACCTCCTCGAGCAAATGATGCAAGAGCCGCTCTTTGACACGCTGCGCACCAAGCAGCAGCTCGGGTACGAAGTCTCGTGCACGGTGCGCGTGACGCATGGCATCCTCGGCTTTGGGCTCAAGGTCGTCTCGGCCTCGACGCCGACAAGTGCGATCGCGGCCGCCATGGACACCTTTGTGACCAGCTTTGCAACGACGCTCGAGACGATGGACGAAGCCACGTTCGACGACCACGTGCAGTCGCAGATCCAGGCGCGCGAAGAACCCGACGTACACCTCTTTGCAGCCACGACGCGCCATTGGACCGAGATCCAGTCGCAGCGCTTGGCCTTCGACATTGACGCGCAGCTCGTCACGTGGCTCAAGTCGCCTGGCTGCTCGCGCGACGCGGTGCGCGCACAGTACGCGCGCTGGTTCCAAAAGCCGCAGCTCCGCGTGTTGGTTGTCGGTCAAAAGAGCTCGTCGACGCTCGAAGGCCGTGAAACGCCGCCGACGGCCGACGCGCTTTGCAGCAATGACGCTGTCCACGCGCAGAAGGCTCGTCTCCCGTGCTTTCCCGAGCGCCACACGATCCCGGCGGTGTAGAGGGCGCCACGTCATGGGTTTTATTTTCGGCATAACGCGAAAACAACTTGGTACCATCGTCGACACGTGCAATTTTAAACAGACTCGTGTTGACATTCGAGACACATACGTGTCGACGCAGCAGCCCCACCTCATGGCCACGCTGTGCCGAGCTTGGGTCGTGGTTCTTGAATGTGGCATGTGCCACTTTTAAGACACGGTTCAATTGCAGAGATATGACGTGGCAGCCTCGTGTGCATAATTATTAATGTGTGTCGTCGTCGTCTACGTGGCCGACGTCGTCGTCGTCCAGCATGCCAATGTGGCTCGACTCGGTGTAGGCCCCGAAAAAGTCAGAGATGCCTTCGGTCTCGTCCAGGTTGAAGCAAAAGTCGGGGTCCGCCTTGAGCGGCGCGAGCTTGAAGAGCCCGTTGGTGTCCTCGTGCGCTTCCAACGGCAGCTCCTCCTTGACGATCGTCTCCGACTGCGCCTGGCTTACTAAATAGACGTCGACGGGCCCTTCGTTGGCCTTGAGGAAGATCTGAAACCTCCGCGAGCCCGGCGGCATGCCCTCGTCCGGGTCCGGCACTTCGAGCGTCGTGCCCGGCGGCGCCTTGATGGCCATGATGCTCTGGTCGGCGAGTGACTCGAGCGACCGAATGTCCTGATGCGAAATGAAACAGCGCGCGGCGTCAGGCGATGCGGACGACGATGGCGACCGACTGCCGTCGCTCTGCTCGTCGTGCAACTGCTTGACGCTCAGCGTCATGTGCCGTATGAAGTGCTCAATGAGCTTCTCCTCTTCGACAAGCTTGGACACGTCGTCTTTCATCTTCTCCACGTCGCTCGTCAACGTGGCCGACGAGGCAAAGAGCGCGTTGCTGCTGCTACTGTCGTCGCCGTCGTCGTCTGCAAACCCGACGCCGTGCACCGACGCCCGCGCCTGGCGCACGCCCGCACCGCCTTTCCAGTGAATGTTGTTCTTGCTCGTCTTCTCGATGAGCCCAATGCCCTCGAGCACGTTTGTGATGTCGTAAATTCGCCGCTTTTGGACGCCCAGCGACAGCGCCGCCTGGTTCAAGTCGAGGTTGCCGTCGGCCGCCGACTGGATGAGAGACACAAACTTCTTCGTAAGCAGGCCCAACGAGCTGTCGTAGCGCGTGCCCGGCGAGCTCAGGTTCTTGCTGCTGCTTGACGCGCTTCCGGGCTCTGTCTTGGTCTTGGGCAGCAGCGCCGGGTCCATCGAAAGCGGTTGTGGCATGTTGCGCTTCAAGTACGAGTTCATCGGGTTGAGCGGCATGTACGACATGCCCATCGGGAGGCCCATGTACATGGGCGCGCCGGTCGCATTCAACGTCGTGTTGGCCTGCGTGCTGTGCTTTGGCGTCTTCGCCTCGGTCTTGGGCGTCGCTGCGGGCGTGCTCAGCGCCGATGCAGCCTTGGCCTTGCCGGCGGCCGATGCGGAAGCGGTCCCATGCGACGCTCCACGCGCCCGCTTGGACGGAGGAGGTGGCGTGTCCATGGCGGCAATCTCGGAGCGTCGGCGCGGCCACCCTCAATTTCACGTCAAGCTCATTCGTTTGGCCGGATACATCTTTTTTAGCAACGCTCGTATTCTTTTGCATATGTTTTAATCCCACTTGATTATTGTATGCAAAGTCATTATAAAACGTACGACAATTTCGAAGCGCATATTATATTCCGACGCGATGCCATTGGACGAAAAGCGGCCAATGACACATTTTGTGCCAATTGTCGATCTTTTTGACCAATCGCACAGGTATGCGCACATCAACGCTCGCCCGCCTCTGCCATGCAAGCGCGCGTCCGACTCGCAATCGTTGTCGACTGGGCCCTGCTTCGATCCCGGTTAAGAGATTAGTTTAGCTAGCAGCAATACTCACGCAAAACCCCCGAGAAAATATCCCAACAAAATCATGTAGTCTGCGTGGTCTCTGGTCGCTAGTCGGTGGTGGGGACGCCCAATCTTGCACTCCTTACTCCTTAGCTGCTACTCCAGCGTCGCACGTCGAAGAAACGACGACCTTGAGCGCAATATGACACTATTATATCTACCGAGATCTTGTCGCTGCTCGGTTTCAAAGCATACCAAGATCCACGAGCCAAGATAGTCAGTGCAAAGTGGCGCGTTTCGTCCGGAGTCAACATGTTCCCGCGCGAATCCAAGCCTGGACGCCCATCGATTCCAGGTAGCCGTATCGATTGCAGGGCATAAAAGAATAATCCCCTTACCAGGTATTTGATCGGGTCAAGCCTAAATCGTACAGTAGAACCAACGTCAACGATATTATTCATGCTGCGAGTCTTCTCTTGTCGGCGCCAGACTGTCCTATCTTTACAGAATACTAGTCGAAGCAACCAGATCTGATTGCACCTAGTCTATTTAAAGACAATTCATGTCGTCCCGGAACATGCTGCGGCGGCGTGGCAGCTTTGTCGAGGACGAAGACAACGAGCCCAAGAAGACGCTGGCGCAGAAGGAGATCATCTCCGCGCAGATGATTGGCGTCATCCAGACGCGCCTCGACTCGCTGCGCACTGTCGGTGGGATCGACGACTCTACACACGGCAGACACACTGTCTTGTTTGGTAGCGGACGACCGCGCGTATGGCCTCGAGTGCGACTTGAAGGCCAACATTGACCACTCGTCGCGGCTCGTACGCCCTGTCTATCGTAGCTCCCACCACTCATCGCCGTCGTCTGGCAGGTTGCCCAGCTGCCCGATCCCTATACGATCCGCAGCGCTGCCACGTCACGTTCCAAGACGCCCACGACAGCCATGAACGTGCGCACGCAGATGCTCATGGAGCGACTCTTTGGTCCGGACGACAAGTCCCGCGCCCGCAACGTACGCATGGTGTTGTCGAATACCCACGATTGTCCATGCATTAGAAGACAATCAAGAAATCCAAAGCCGAGCTCCTCAAGACCGAGACGCGGCGCAACAAGCGCGCGAACCTGGAGAAGCAACTGCAGACCAACATTGAGCGGCATGTGACGCGCACCGTCGACAGCGTCTTGTCCTCGGACGCGCGCGGCCAAGACTCGATCGAGCTCAACGCGCGGCTACTGATATCGCACACGATCGAACGCATGCGCATCGTGCAGGGCAAGAAGACGTTCAAGAAGTTTGCGCTCTCGGACCTCTCGTGCAAGCAATTCGAGCACCTCTTTTGGCACGTATTTTACACCATTTTTCGCAAGGTCAATTTTGGACAATTTTGTCCTACCATATTACAAAACGCGAAATAGAAACCAACGCCGACCGACACGTCGTACGACGAGGACATTATGGCGGCCATTTGCGGCCAGTACGTCAAGACGCTCTCGTTCCTGCGGTCGAACAAGGACCTCATCTTCCGGATCTACCCGTACGCGATTGCGAGTGCGGTTTGCAGTGGGTTCCACTACCTCTTTCCGGGCTCGCGGCACCTCTACACCAACGACTTTAAGAGTCAAGTATGTATTCATCGATCCAGGGGTAGGGTTGCATGGGCGTAGGTGTTTGTGCTCATTTGCGAGCTTCTCTTGGGTCTCAAGCTGTGCCCGATCTCGGTGCATACGATGCGCAAGCAGTATTTTCCCGAAGACCTCCTCGACGACTTGCACGCGCCCGCAGTAGCGACGCATGCGCAGACTGCGACCAACAGCCAGCCGGATCTCCTCTCGGCGTTTGGCCTTTCGAGTGCGCCGACGCGCGAGACGGGCGAGCCGGCGCCGTTCCCTCGCTCCAAGAGCGAGTTTACCTTGGTGCGTTCGTCGCTCAGATAGAGACAAAATGCCGATAAAGTTTGTGGTCGTAGCTTCTCGAGAAGATCCCACCGCCGTCGTCCGGCCCGCGCCTCCACCAGCTGCGCAGTCACTTCGACGCGTCGCAAGTGAGCCCGCTCATGAAAGAGTACCTTGCCAACGACAAGGACGGCGTCAAGATGCCGTGCCTACTTCGACGCACGACACCCGTGCCCAAGTGCATAGTAGGTGGCGAAGACACGTTCAAGCGCATGTACAATCTGTCTTATATTATTAGTACAACGACTAGAGATGCATGTAGGTACAACCGCAAAATGGCGCCCGCCGAGTACGCGCACGAGTCGGCCGTGCGTTACAGCGAGTACCGCGCCGACGTGCTGCACTACCAGCGCGACGCACGTCATGCGCTCAAGCTCATCAACGAGGTGAAGTCCTCTTGGCTATTGAAGTCGATTTACTGGGTGTAGACCAAAGACATTGTTCTCAATGGCGGCAAGGCCGCCATCAAGGCGTACAAGACCATCTTGCAAAGCCAAGCCAACGGGTTCTCGGCGTCTCTCGGGAGCCTCGATGCGATTAAAGGCTTCGACCCGCCGGTATCCCCCGAGCGCCTCTCCTAACCTAGTCGCGTCTTCCTAGCCTAATCGCATCTCCTAAACGAATCGATAGAGTCCACGTGGGCATCGACTCGGCTGTGGTTGTCTGTGCTTTCTATGACCAAACAGGATTCATTAGAGCTTGGGTGTCGTCGGCAGCCGCTGCTTGAAGCGAGGAATGTCTTGCACTAGTATCGGGGCCGACGCTGTGTCCAAGAAGGTCTCGAATGGGACGTTGGGCACCGAGTGGGCTTGGCCCACAACGTGCACACGCAGCTTCTGAGCCGACCGCAAGAACCAGTCGTCGTACGTGTGAAGAAGGTCCTCCTGCGTCACAGCAAGCACGGCCGCGGCCATTGCGCCGTCGACGGTGTGTTGGCCGCTGAGGAGTGCAGCCCACGTCTCGTGCGGAGACGACGGCCGCTGCCAGAGGGCATGCACAGCGTCGAGACACAACGCGAGCGCGTCGGGCGAGAGGGCGCGCAAGACGGCGGGGAACGTCGTCTGCAGAAACGTATCCAAGCGGCGCGCGATCGCACTGACATTCCACGTTGCCGACTCGACGAGAATGGCGACACCGAGCACGTTGTGCGTCACCTTGACATAGCACGCCACATGGTAGCCGACTTGGTCGAGCGTGCGCAGCTGGTGGAACAGCGGCTCGTTCATGAGCACCCGAAGGACGTTGGCAATCGCATATGCCCTTGGATGGAGCGCTCCGCACTGAAAATACATCTCGACGCAGCTCGTGGTGTCGTCGCTGTGGGCGCTGGGGACGCGCACGAGAAGTCCGCGGCCGTCGTTGACGGGCAACGTCGACGCCTGGAGACGCTTGGGGCTGTACAATGTGTGGGACCTTGGCGACAGCATCTCTGGCATCGACACCATCGCGACAAGGTGACGAACAAGCGTTATTGCCGTGTCCGTAGAGGCGTTGCCAGCAACATAGCTCGTCAAGCGTGCTCGGGCAAAGAGCTTTGGTGCCGTGATGAACGCAGAGACTTCGCCAAGTGTCAAGCGCCGCAGAGCACGCACAATATCGTCGAGCGCATGGTGCACGGGACTCGCGTCGAGCAGCTGGAGGCGAATGTACGTGGCCAGGGCCCCGACGTCAGCCACGTCGTCGGTGAGCTCGGCGCAAAGCCACTCGACAACGTGGTCCAGCTCGGTTGCGCGAGGTAGCTCGGGCCGCGTGAGCGCGTCGAAGAGGGTCGTGACGAGCGATGGGAGGTGTTGGCGGTAGCCAGCGACACGCACGTGGATGCTGCCGTCTTGCACGCGGAGGCTGATGTCCATGTCAGCGCATTGCGCGAAGTACGTTGTCTCGCGCAGCCGAAGCTCGGCGAGGCGGACATAGACCAACAACGTTGCGTGCGCATCGAGAGACGCTTGACCGAATGGCAGCACGAGCTGGAAAAATGCGGTGACGCGCGGCGACAAGGTACTGCGCTGGAGCCAATGGCGTCCAGGAACGTCCAGTCGCTTTGGCGTGGCGTCCGAACTCTCGGTTTCGATCGTAAAGTCGGTGGGCACGAACGGATTGCGCTGTGGGAGGCGGTAGGGCGCCGGGGTCGCCATGGTCCATCGCGCAAGGAGCTTTGCTGGGATCCGCGCTCTCTCATATGCAACTTCGCCCCAGGGCTCCTACAAAGAAGGCGTCAGCAAGACGCCGAAAATAAGACAATCTGAGCACCGTGCACGGCAACCGAGCGGAAAGCCCACGAATGTCGGACGAGTGGACGGTGGTGCGGAGCGCCACCTGCATGTTGGTCGGCACCAGACACGTGAGTAGCGAGGCGATGGCTGCGGGGTTGAAGGGCTGGTACAGACACGGTCCCAGGTGCAGACCCAACAGCTCTTTCCGGTCAATGTCCAGGCGGTCGAGCATGTACGTAGCTAGTGCTTGGACGCGACTGATGGCGTCAACGGGGGCCGGAAAAGCAAAAGCGACTTTGGCGGTTGCTTGAAACTCGGCGTGGATCCAGCTGGGACAATTCGACGAGCGCTGAAAATGATGCAAAATCGAGTAAACGTGCGACACAATGATGTCCCAGTGCGCAACACCGAGGAGGCTCAAGTCGATCTCGACCTCAAACATAGAGCCAAACGAGCCGTGCTCGTAGCCCTGCGTCTCGGCGATACCGGCTTCGATCCCCGTCGCCCACCCTTTCTGGCGCAGCTAGATCGCAGTCTTAGCACCTCGACGTCATCATGAACGTACGTAGTAGAGAAGCGATTTGCTGCCTTCGTGCCGCAACACATAGCGAATGTATTCGGCGGCCGCGAGCTGCGCCTGGCGGGCTCGGCCGGTGGTCGTTGGCGGCAGGGGAAAGAAAAGATACAAACCATGCGTCTCCGATATGGACCCAAACGTGAGCAGTCGACGGGGGGATGCAAGCCGCGGCAGCGGCGGATACCGCAGGCCTGGCGCAGTGCAGCTGGGAATGGCGCCGAACGACGCTCGAACGCACTGCGCCATGGTCGCCAAGGGTAAGGAGCTGCACACTGCAAGCTTCATGCGCTCTGCCGTGTAGTGTTGCTCGAAAAATCCGCGGAGGGCCAACCGCACGTTGATATTGTCCTTTGAGGGGGCGTCCTTGAGACTCGCAATGTTGCCCCACCCAAATTGGTGGTACGGGTGCGTCGAGCCATCGCGTCGTCCTGCGTCACAGAGCACTTGCTACATACATACATGTAGGCACGACGCTAGGCAGCAAAGTACCTGCAGGCGCACGCGGTCGTGCTGACCCGCCGACTGGAACTCATCGTCGACTGCGAGGAGCTCGCGGTCCATGGCCTCTTGGAGGAGGAGCGGGGCGATGAAAAAATTGGCAAAAATATCGAGCGCCTTGGATAAACCGCGTGGCGCGACTTCGAAGAAATACTTGGTCACTTCGCAGTCGGTCGCTGCGTTGCTGTAGCCCCCGTAGCGGCTCAGGTAGGCTTCGAACGCGTTCTCTTGCGGGTACTTGGCGCTGCCTACGCCGGCGTCTGCTTGGTCAGCTTCAAGGGTAGCCTACATACCCATAAAGAGCATGTGCTCAAGGTAGTGCGCCAAGCCCAAGAGCTGCGGCGGGTCGGCAAACGTGCCCACGCCCACGGTAAGGCAGGCCGCCGCCATCTCGGCCACCTCGTGCTCGTCCTCGCCTGGCGCCGCTAGTGTCGGGGGAGCGTGCACCAAGAGGACTTCAAGACCGTTGGGCAGCTCAAGCAGCTCGTAGGCGCTCGTGTCGCTCGGCGGTTTGGACGCGTCGACGACCGACGTCATGCGAAACGAGACCAACGATGGTCATTCACATCGAGAGCGGCTAACAATAGCTTATATTCGGCAGATGCCGAATCCACGTGGCAGTCTGTGGGCGACGCAAAAATACAGTGTTTCAAAATCCTGTCACCTGTGACAATGCATGCTCACAATCCGACTCATTATCAAGTCAAAGAGGTGTATCAGCCCAATGGCGAGCTTCGGAGACATCCTGCTGGGCTGCCCGCCCGTGGCCGCCATCATCTTTGGCTACCAAGAGGGCATCACCGAAGACGCTTTGCCGTACTTTGACCACTTCCACGAGCACGTGCTCTACGCTACACCCGATGGTCACCATGAGGCCGTCTTTATGTTCCTCAACGAGTCCGGCGGCGTCGAGCGCCTCCAGCCCGCCGAATTGGCCTTGCTCGAGCAGCGCGACAGCCGCTTTCCACTGCACTTGGTCATCTACAACGGCGATTTAGAGGCCACGCAGCGCCTTGTACGCGGTGCCCCGTCCATCGTCTCGGTCGACGCGATCCACTGCGCCTTCCACCGCGGCCGCACAGCGATCGCAAAGTACCTTCTCGACGTCCGCGCGCGCTCGCCCACACTCTTTGAGTCGCCATCGTCGTCAGCCACAACGCTAGACCAAGCGCAGCGCAGAGTTCTCTGCCGCTACGACGACGTGGAGCTTCTCAAGCTCTTTGACGCGTTCGCGTCACCAACGTGGTCGCGCGACAACTGCGTGATGGTCTTCAAGCATCGCCGCGCACACGTCGCCGAGTACTTGTACAAGCACCACGAAGCCAGCTGGGCGACGCTCGATGTGTGTACGTTGGCGAGCGAGTGTGGCCTCACGGGCATCTTGCGGCTTCTCGCTGCACGCGGGGCTCTCACGCCAAGGGCCATTGACATTGCGACTCAGTATGGGCGCGCTGACGCAGTGGCCTTCTTGCGCACCGAGTGTGGCCAAGATGTCTCGAATGACGTGTGGGTCAAAGTGGCGAACAGTGGGCTCGTCCGAGTGCTGGAGCTCTTGCCAGTACCTGCGGACGACGAGATCGTGACGGCCGCCGCCAAGTACGCCGCTGCAAACGGCCAGCTCAACGTGCTTGGGTTCCTTACGTCCAACTCGGCTGTCTCGCTGAGTGGCGCCGTCCGCGCGGCGGTGGCAGCCCACCGCGCCAACGTCGTTGACTTTGTGCTCGCGCTCGATCCGACTGTCGACGTCGGGTTCGCCCCCACCCACCCAACCTTCTTGACGTGTCTCTTGATCGCCGCCCAGCAAGGGCGTCATCGCGTCCTCGAGATCCTCTTCGAGCGGAAGGCATTCACGCCGACACGGGCGATCGTCGACGCCGCCGCGTCATCCGGCAGTGTCGAGCTCGTCACATGGCTGTGCACGGTGACCGCCGACATCGTCACGCAGACCCCGAGCGCGCTCGCGTTGGCCGTCGCCTTGGGGCATATCGACGTCGCCGACGTCTTGATGGCCCACGGGCTTGTACTCGACGCCGGCACCGAGATCGCCGGCTTGCACGTTTCCAAATTGGACGCAGTGCTGGCTTTTGCGACCGAGCACCGACTGCCGATTGCCATCAATTGTCTGCACATGGCGTGTGCCAAGGGTCTTGTCGACGTCGTCGCACGCCTTCTTCCGCTCTTTTCGCCGGCGACGGCGGCGTCCATGGTGGACGTTGCGTTTGGCTGCAGCCGCCCGGACGTTCTCCGGCTCTTGGCGCAGCATGGTGCGCCGATCACGCCCGAGATGCTCCTCCGGGCACTCGAATGCGATGCGTGGGCCTCGTTCCACGTTCTGTGCGACCTTTGCCCTGTCACGGACGCCGTACTGGCACGCGCGGTGCGACTCGCGACCGATGACGTGGCGCGACTCCAGTACGTCGAGTACTGCCTGCCATTACACCCCCCAAGCGTCGTTCGAGACCTCGTGCGCTCGTGCCCAACTCTTCACGTGCAGCTTCTCGCGACCCTCTTGCCAGCTTGCATGCACCCCAATGAGCCTCTGGACAACTTGAAGTTCCTCATCGAGTTGAGCGACGCGGCGTGCAAAGCCTCGAACGCCACGTTTCGGCGACTGCTGTCATTCATTGCGATCGAAGCCGACCGCGCAACGTGCCCGCTACCGGCATCGATCTGTGTGACGGCGCGCGGGGAACTCTCAGCGACGCAAACAGCGCTCGAGGCGTGGTGCCCCACGGTAGCTCCGGCATGTAGTAGTGGCTGACAACCTCATCGAAATATTTGGTTTCATCAACATCTCACTGCACACACTGCGGTCGTTGAGAGCTGTCGAGTGACGCTTGGTAATTTTACGGTTACCTGGCTGCTCCATCCAAACAAGATGAGCAAGCCGCCGTCGCTCTCTCGGCGCAACTCGCTCTCGAATTTGCTGCGTCGACCGGCGTCCGACGATGCCAACCGCGGCAAGCAGCTCTGGGGCAAAGTGCGCGAGAACCTCCAAGTGCTCGTACCGCCCAAGCCGACGACGCGGTACCGGCGCGTCGCGCGGCCGCCGCTCATGCTGGACCCGCACAGCGACTTGAAGCTGCAGTGGGACCTCCTCGTCGGCGCGCTCGTCGTGTACACGACGGCGGTCGTCCCGTACCGCGTGAGCTTTTCGATTGACGCGAGCGGCTTCTTCTACGTGTTTGAGACGCTCATGGACGTCGTCTTCACGCTGGACATTATGCTCTCGTTCCGAACAGGGATAACGTCGCCGGTCACGGGCCTCGTCTACTACAACAAGCAGCACATTGCGCTTGCGTACCTCAAAGGCTGGTTCCTCATCGACTTTGTCTCGACCGTGCCGATCGCAACAGTGGCGACGCTTGTCGACCCGACGCTCAACTCAAACGCGCTCAATACCGCACGCGTCTTCCGCGCGCTCAAGCTCGCCCGGCTCCTCAAGCTCGCCCGGATCCGCAACATTGCCCACATGCTGGCCAAGTGGGAAGAAGAGGTACGCAATTTTTTTTCGATTTTTGATTGTTGGATTTTTATGGGTTTGGAATTTGAAATGAATGGATTCATACAATATACTGTGGCGGCGTAGATGTTTGTGAACGAAAGTCTCCTCTCGCTGCTCAAGATTCTCTTTTTCGTATTTTTCCTGGCGCACATTGTCGCGTGCGTGTGGTTTTACGCGTCGACGGCCAACCCGTGCGATTTTTTATCGTGAAAAATGGATATACTCATGGGACACAATGACTAGCCATTCGTGGGCAGCGACCATCGGTCTCATGGACGAGAACCACGGACACAAGCAGACGCTGCAGTACCTCGTGTCGCTCTACTGGGCCATCGTGACCATGGTATGACATATTGCCGTCCAGTCGCTCGACATAGTGTACGTAGTCGTCGGTCGGGTACGGCGACGTGGTGCCCCAGACGAAGCTCGAGATGGCGATCGCGATGTTTGTCATGGTCATTGGCGTCGTTATGTTTGGTTACGTGATTGGGAACATCACATCGCTCGTTGACAACCTCAACGCGAGCGGCCGCATGCAGCACGAACGCATGACCCTCATCAAGGAGTACATCATCGTGCGCAGTCTGCCCAAGATGACAGGTCGTCCTTTCTCTTGATATCTTGCTATCTGCAACCCGACGTAGCCAAGCGGCTTTTGGACCATTACGAATACTACTACCGGCATCGCTCCGTGTTTGACGAAGACGCCATTTTGAAAAACATCCCGAGCATCCTTCGGCACGAAGTGGTATCGAATATTGTTGATACTGGACGATGCTCGTCCAATATAGCGCGTAGGTCCACCATGTTCTGCGCAAGTTTGTGGCGCGCATCGACTTTCTCTCCGAGTTCCACGAAGGCCTCGTGAGCGACATGGCCGTCGCGATGCACCCGTTCTTTGTCGTCAAGAACGAGAGCATTTTCGTTCAGCACGAGATCGCGGCCCATGTTTTCTTTCTCATGAAGGGTATCGAACCCTGTACCAGCTGGTGCGGAAACAAATGTTTGTCGCTGATTAGGGTCCGCGACGCTCGTCAAGTCGTATGTGAACCAAATGGGCGAGACGGAGCTCATGCAGCTCTCGCCGGGCGTGCACTTTGGCGAGATCGAGCTCTACCACCTGCGCTTTGGCCGCGGCGTGCGCCTCTGCACGGCCATGGCCAAGACGTACTGCGAGCTTACGTTTCTGTCCCGTCAAGTCATTGCCACCATTGGTATAGACCATTATCAGTACTGCGACACCCACCAATGGCATAGGCGAAACTTGGCCCGAAGTGCTCATTCACTTTGAAAAGACCGCGAATCGAAAGGTCCGCCTCATGGCCAAGCGCGGCCAACTCGACGAGTTCAACACGATCTTGGACAAGAAGCCGTCGGCGTCGAGTCTTCGGCACCGGCGCACGGTCGACGCCGCGGTACGACTGAATGATTCCGCCTGCGCCCGCTCATCTAATCGATGTAGCGAGCCTCTCCGTTAGAGCGGCGCGATGGCATGTCGCTGCCGCTGCCAGCGTTTGCGACCATACCCTCGATCGACGGCTTGCAAGCCATCGACTTTGGGTCGTCGTCGTCGGACGACAGCGGCGACGACGAGAACGAGGACGTGAAGCGCGTCAGCAGTGCATTCCAGCTCGACACGCAGATCGCTCGGATCCAAACAGCGATCCGCCCGCTGGTCAACGAGCAAAAGGTAGGAAACGACGTCCGAGGACTCCTATGTCACTCAAACGAGGTAGCTCGCGCATCAAAATTGGATCGTCCACCCCCACGACGCGTTTCTCATCAACTGGCAGCTCACGGTCGCCACGGGAATCATATACTCGACCATCATGGTGCCGTATCGCATTGGGTATGGATCTAGTCCTGGATCTATAGCTCATCTGGGCTAGCTTCAACTCGGATCCGTCCGGGCAAGGGCTCGGCGTCGACCTCTTTGTGGACTTTGTCTTCTTCATCGACATCATCATTTCGTTCCGGACTGCGTTCTACACGGCCGAGCACCAGCTCGTGTACCAAGCGAGGACGATCACGTTTGGGTACTTGCGCGGCTGGTTCTTCATCGACATTGTCTCGACCGTGCCCATCGACACGATCGGCGGGTGCGTCCTCGACTGGCTCCATATATTTTCAAAGTGGACCAAACTAGTCTCTTCTTGTCGACCGCCTCGTCGGCCAAGGTGCTCTCGTCGACGAAAATTCTGCGCATTTTCCGCATTGCGCGCATCTTCAAGCTCATTCGGCTGCTCAAGATCGGCAAAGTGTTTGGCCGCGTGCGCGACGCGATCCAGGTCCGCTTCGCCATGGCCGTGGCCCCTCATGGGACGCGTAGCTGAGTCCGTCGAGCGAGCGGCTCCTGAAGCTGGTCATGATTATGGTGCTTTTCGGGCACTGGAACGGGTGTATCTTCCACTTCATCATGCTCCAAGAGGAAGATCTCGGGTGCGTCGCTCGTCACCGCCGGAGATACAAGGCGGCTTGTCTAGGCTTCGGACGTGGTGCACGGAATATTTTTTCCCGAAAAACGAAGACCCGGGGCTGTGTTCGAACCGCGTCGCGCTGGGCGACCGGTACTTGGCCTCGGTTTACTGGGCGTTTACGACCATGGCGACCGTCGGGTACATTGCTATTGGTCTAGAAAAATACTGATAGACCGTGCAGCTATGGGGACATTCACCCGTACCGGTTCTCGGTGAGCGAAATTCTGTTTACGATCGTGTGTCTCTTGGTCAACTCGACGATTTACGCCTACGTCGTGAGCGGCATCATCGAGGTCATCTACAACTACGACCCGAGCGCGCGCGAATATAGTAACCGACAGAACGCGATGAAGGTATCGACCACTGGTGCATCGCCTATTATAACATAACGTCTATTAGGATTACGTGCGCGAGTCGGGGCTCTCGGCGCGGTTGAGCCACAACGTGCGCCACCACTACGACTACCTCCTCTCGACCATGTGCCTCTTGCCCGAGGAGAAAGTACGCGCCGGTTATATGTCTCGTCTATAACGCATTTGTATCATTGCACTAGATCTTTAGTCAGCTGCGCCCGAGCCTCCGCTTTGACTTGGCGCGGCTCGTCGCGTCCAACACCTTTCTCACGATCGGTCTCATTGCTGGCATGGAGAAGCGCTACAAAGGTATACGTCACGACATAATTTGGGATATATAAGCAGGACAAATCATGATTAGGCTTTGTGAGCTACGCCATGTTCCTCCTCAAGCCGCAGCTTGTGCTACGCAGCGAGCGCGTCTGCCACAGCGGCAGCCCAGGCACTGAAATGTACTTCATTCTGGACGGCGAGTGCGAGCAGCTCGACAAGGACAACCGCAACGCGCGTGTGGTCGGGTATGCAACAACATGTGGTTTGGTGTTGATGCTTATGATGTTGATCGATACCATGCGTAGCGAGGGCGGGATCATTGAGGCGTACGCGCTTCTCGCCCATCCCGACGAGCACTACCGCATGGAGAGCTCCGTGACGGTCCTCACAAAGTCGTGCGAACTCTACTCCTTTGCCGTCCACGACTTTCAGTACAATATTCATGTATTGAAGACTGTTTAACGAATGGCTATAGGACAATTGCGTCCATTTCGCCGGCGATCTCGTCCAACATGTCGTACGAACTCGCGCGGAGCATCATCCAAGACGACTTTTTGAGGCTCACAGAGCTCCAAGCCCGGCGCGTGGCCGCCGCGATCGAGCACGAGAAAAAGTACCACCCCGTGGCGACCCTACCCCTCGACAACCTGCCGAACGTGGTTTTGACGACGGTCAAGGCGACGACAGGCGACACACTCACGATGCACATCAAACAAACCGTCCACAAGCTGGCCGTGCAGACAAGCCACGCCCACCCCGCGGAATAAATATCAAAACGCCACGAAAACTACATTTCAAAGTGTTTGTTAGCTTGCTGTC